TACTCTCAGCTCCCCTCCCCCTCCTCTTTCAACTTAACTTTGCCGGTGACATTCAGTCTAGACACAACTTGAGCTTCGTGGTGAAATAGCGGCTTGTGAAGGGCTTGAGCCCTGTTTTATAAATCCGTTGCAATTACAATTATTTTTACTTCGATTTGATTGGTTTTGATAAATATAGATTGAAGGATCAGTAGGAAGCACCTTGAGTCTGCTTGTCAGTTTCTATCAGTTGGTAGACATGTAGAACGTTCATCGACAGTCAGATGTCCAGATGAGGCCGCGCCGCGGAAAAGTTCTTTTCAAATCAGTTTCAACCGCTTCGCTCAGTTCGATCTGAGACAATTTGGTCCTACCCCTATCAGCCATGGCCATGAACTTACTTTGCAACGTCCAAACTTGTCGTAAGCCCCTGACTAGTACGCTCTGGGTTACAAGCTGCTCACATTCTTTCTGCGAGGACCACGCAAAAACATTATCTCACAAAAATATTAAGTGTCCTGCCTGTGGCACTCTTCTTGGCAAACGCTTCGACGTTATTCGACAGAATTCTAACCCTGCTGAAGAATTCAAAGCGGTTTGTACTGAAGCCTATCTTTGTTATACATGTCCGGCCGTATGTCGTTTTGCCGTCACTGATCACGTTCTTAAAACACTCCTACAAGTTTCTAGTTCAAGCAAAAGAATTAACATGCAGTTCAACCAATTTTCTAGATGTTACTAGTTGGCCTTAGACCAGAAATAGTTTTAGATATTGCAATGCGTGCCGTGTCATTTTGGAATTACCAAGTAGAACAGGAACTCAAATATCAGGCAAACTCTGCAAATCAATTGCTTGAAACAAAAGAGAAGGCCAGTATCAATCAGACTACTTTGATGAAACAATTAGCCTTGGCTAAAAATACTATTGCTGGTATGTTGGTCTGCACAGAGCTTTTAGGGTTTTTAATTTGAGTAAATAAATGGGTGGATATTTTTATTTTATTACTACATCACAGGTAATGAGAAGCAGATAAATGATCAGAAAAGCACCATTAAATTCCTCAAGAGTGCACTATCTCACAAAGACCAACAACTCAAGAAAATGCAGGTAATAGTTTTAAATTTGACTCCAAAGACTTTGACAAGGCAACTTAAGACACTGATCTGCAAATTTATATCTCAATGTGCGTTTATTTATTGTATAGCATGGGCTCTTTCATACTAAAAGCAAAACTCAAGATATTCATGTAACAAACAGTGAGACCGAAGATGTTCATTTTCGCAAAGAAAATACTCACAATGCTGGCAAGAAAAAAGGTCAGTTCTTTTTTTATTGAAACATCTGATTTTATGTGTGCAATATAACTTGTAATTTTCTGAAATTTTGTACAGTTTTCATCTTTGAGCCGCGCATTTCTTCTCAAAGGAATGATTTATAAATTATTTCCAGAACTTCTCTTTAATTTCTATTTCTTTGGCCTCTATGATGTAAAGTTTTCTTTTTCCCTCCTTGCCTAATACTATTTTACATACAGACTATTATGTTGTACATTGATCATTTCCTTACACAAAATTATTCATGATGAACAATAAAATTTTCATGTCAGTATTACTAATTTAATTTTGATTCACTGATTTACTTCTTCTGATAGTATCTTCTGATAAAATATATGTGTCTTTTTCAAACTCCAGAACATTTATATTAAGTTCTTTTTGAAGCTCTGCTACTGGTTGATCCCAACGCTTCTCAAAGTAAACATTCATTAATGACTTGCTGTCCCAACCAGTTTTAATTGCCCAAGGTAGATAGTGAGTTATGTACTTCTGTCGTTGCCTGTAAAAATAGAACTCTCATTATAGCTCTCTCCTGCTGGTAAAATCAGATCTGCCATGCACAACATTGAAATATGTTTGTATAATTTTTTTTACACCAACCTAGGTTGAGGCAAACTCATCCCAAAACTAATTTGGGCTGAGCCTAAAGGGATGGTTGTGAAATGCTTTATTGTAATGTTTGGTGTTGCAAGACTGCCCACCAGAAACCGAGGGAAAGGGGGAAGTACCACTCTCCTGCCTTGTTTGAATATATAAGAGAAATGTATCTTTTTACTTACTTTTTAGACAATCTAATAGAACCAAAGACTGCTCCACCTACACACATTGGCAATTTAGTTTGGATGGCTTCAACCCACTTCACAGTCACTTCACCTGTATGCACAACAGTTTTAAAGTTAGAGTTATGTATGCTCATTCAGACCTTTGAGTAAATAAAATTTGTTTGTAATACTACAATCAAGTTGTATCAGCGAGAAAGATGTTTACATGTCTCACCTAGCATGTTAGTCCTCATTTGAAGAATTGTATGGAATAAATCATGTACTTCTCGGTACCTCTGCATCACATACGCTAGTTCAACATCATCTACAAATTGAACTATCGCTCTGGTGTCCGGACTAACATTCTGAAAAAAATGTTAAAATAATCACCACAAACTTCAAAGGTGAACTTGCAAAAGCAGAGGCATAATGAGTGTCAATACTTATTATTTTCTTCCAACTTACATTTACAGCAAGAAAATTGGAATATGCTTTTCCAAGAGAGCCATCTGGCATTTGATGAAGTTTTTGTAGGTCAAGAGTTTTTGTATTGATTCGAGGTCTTTCACTGCAAATGTTCAGTTCCAATATCACAACTCAAAGACATAGAAAATATCAATGTTGATGATATGCTATTTCATAAAACTGAACCTTAAAATAGATCTTCCTTCTTTATCATTTTCCATTGACTGTAGCATGGACTGCAGGGCACATGGACCAGTAGTTTCTCCCAAGGTTGCTATCATATCTGTAACAGTAGTTTACATTCTCAGAACACCTATCTCCAAAGTAAAAGCACTGAAAATAGGAATGTAAAATAAATCAACACTACCTCCTCTCGATGGATTTGACAAGGAAATGCCAGCTGAACCCATGGACAGTAACACTCGTTGGACAAATGATAGAGGAACATGGTTGGCTGCATAGACATTATCAAAACTGTCACTGGACCTATTTTCCTTACTACTAGGATTATTTTGGATTACTGTGTGTTGTGCATTGTTTTGATGAAATTGTGATACAAAATGAAATGATTGCCTGGAATCCCATAGTCCTCGGTTACTTATTCGGAAAATACCTGTAGGTATAAATAAAAGAAAACTCAGTAGGTAGAACAATAGTAAACCAATACTTCTTAAGTTTAAGTAATAGGTAGAATTAACCAAGCTTCATGGCCAGCTTATGATGTATATGATAATCAAATTGTATGTTCTACACGATTTTAAAGTCTTTACTTACCGGTGCCGTAAGAAATGTACAGTGCCATAGCATTAATTACAAATCTCAAAACAAGATAATTATTGTTAATAATAAGCAAGAACACTCCAAGTAGGCAATAGAAAAGCAGACGACACAGCGATATGATCGCGACCAGCGTGTCAATACATGGAAACACAACTATTAACAGTTGACAAATAGGGATATGAATGTGAAGGGCATTTTTACCGCTCAACTGCCAACTGCCATTTTCCGTCTGCTGGTTCTTGCACTTCTTGCTTCTGTCCGATCTCTCAATTTTGACAGATAAGTGATTCTCGAAGGAAAGAAAGGAAGAGTGAGTTTTTAAGGGTGAACTGTAACCCTCTGTGTACTGTCTCTGAAATATCGCAAACGTAAGGTATGAACCATGAAAATTCCCATTGATTGTAAGGAAGGAAATATCCCGGTCAGCCACATCAGCACTGAACAAATTTATATTGAATTCTCTTATCTAAGTTTTTTTTGAAAAAAAAAAAAAGAAAATCAATAAGGAAATTATTATTCTTAGCCATTATTGTTTTCCATTTTGGGTCACTTTTACAATTACAATTAGTTCACAAAATCAGAATCAGCTGGTCAAAATTTTAGCATGTAGGGCTTCTTTTTTAAACTAAGTGAGAAACTTTATTTTTAACCATTTTATTTGGTGTTTTATTGATGGTTTTGTCTTATCTGTCTGTTTAATTTTATACAAGTTTGCTTTCTCTTAGGATGGCACCTCAATCACGGTTTCGAGAAAATGTTGATGGCAACAAGCTGGACTTAAGTATGTCCGGTATCACAGAAGTTCCTGTGAAAGATATAGTAAGTATGGTTTGCATTGGTCTTAAACCTGTATTTTTCAAGATGTGATCTCATTATTGTCTTTTCCAGGCATCAATTAAAAAGGCAACAGTTTTGGATCTCTCAGACAATCAGCTAACTCTTTTACCGGTACCAGCTTATACAATTATTTTTGTTGGTCTTTGCGTAAATGTGTACATTATCTTACAGAAAATTATTGTTTCTTTCAGCCAACTTTCTCTTCCCTGACTCATCTTGTGGAACTGGATCTCAGTAAAAATATGCTGCAGGAGTTACCTGAGTCGTTTGGTAACTTGATCAACTTAAAACGCCTTGATTTGTATGGAAATAAGGTTTGAGAGTTTGTTTTTTTACATTCTACATTAGAATTCTACAGTGTATCCAATCCTAATATTTGTACTTATTTTGTTTTGTTGTAGCTAACTCACCTACCACTTAGTTTCTGTCATCTGAAAGCTCTCCGTTGGCTGGATCTAAAAAATAACCCTTTGGTACCGATGTTGGCAGAAATAGCAGGACCTTGTGGAGATATGCAACAGTGTCAGCAGTGTGCTCGGAATGTTGTTGCAACCTTGACTCAAACAGCCATCAAGGTTGAAGAGGACAGAAAGCGATTATTGCAGGAAAAACTCAAGGAACAAGGCAAGTTGTGGTACCCCCAGCTTCGGACTGGCCCGGGTTGGCCCGTCGAAAAACCCCGACCAGGCCCCCAGACGTAAAAGTATCTTTTTGGGCCCCTTGAAGGCAAAAGGGTATCTTTTGCGGCTCCTTGATGGCAAAAAGGTATCTTTTGGGGCCCTTTGAAGGCAAAAAGGGTATCTTTTGGGGTCCCTTGGAGCAGTTTCCCGACAGGGCCCCTAGACTTCCAGTCTGTGGCTGGGTATCCCAACCAATCAATCCAAAATTATTCATAACTACAGTATTTTTCTACAATAATAATTTGCAGAGGTGTGACTAAATCTTAAAAATAATTTTGAATATTGTTTTAGAACAAATAGAACAAGAATACTTATTAAAGAAAAAAGAATTGGACTCTGAAAACCAAAAAAAGGCTAAGAAGAGAGCAAAAAAGAACAAAGCTGAAAAACAAATTCAAGACTCGAACAGTAAAGGAAATATTGCCACATCTACTGGAGCAAAGGTTCAAGCTGCAACAGAAAAGGAGAGCATGAGAGAAGATAATGTCCCTGCATCTTCTTCCAAAAGTAAGATAATTATTTTACTAGAAATTTCTTGATTTACATACACCTGCTTACTGACCAATTTTTTTCTAGGTTTCTTGCGAATGATTCTTTACTTTCTAATCTTCTGTGTTGGAATAGTCACTACTTTATTATTCTGTTGCATCCTCTTTGCTGCATATGACCGAAAATTGTTCCTTGAGTTAATAGAGGACTACAATATTGCGTCAAATGATGTGACTGGACCGATTTTGTATGCAGCAAAATATGTTGAAAATGCATCCAAGCATCCAACATTCAGAGAATTGAGATCTCAGTTGGCTGTGTGTTTCAGGTCAATTATAGCAAGCATTCTAAACATATATAAAACTATATGTCAGGAATTTCCTGTTTATTATGATTGGCTGAAAAGTAAATTCAAGGTATAGGTAATCTGAGTATACGATATCAAATACCTACGGTATATGAAAACTGTAATGGTGTCACTGTATAATAAAAGTATAATGAATTTTTTGAAGACAGATTTTATTATTATCTTTTTGATGAAATTGATATGTTTTCAGTTAAAAATACTGTTGGGTTTTGCTATCTTAACACTAGATCCACCAACCAGCACCAGATTCACACAAACTCACAATTTCCCGGCTTCTAGTACCAACTACAAGTACATAATCTTAAGTCAAAAAACATAGTTTCATCTTGAATTTCCAAAAGTTCCACGCGATTCTTAAATTTTGCTTTAAAAGGTAAAGATGCTTTCAATTGAGTATTCTCTGAGAAGCTCTCTCTCTCTGATTAATTTCGTTAAGGAAAGTTTATGAAAGAAAAATTTCTGCTTTGTGTTGTTCGCCTCCTGTCTGCCAACTGTGCTGTGTTCTATCTGTCATGGCCAAACGTCAACAATAACACTTACGTCAATTATAACTCGAGTAACCGGTACTGTGTGGTTGACACAATTCTTAAAAGAGAAATATGGACTCCAGACTTTCAAGAGATTCCCTGCAACAAGCAATAGTTACCCACAATTTGCAAGTTAAAGCATTAATTCAGGTATGTCGGTAACGTAGAGGTTATGTTCTTTGCATCAACTTTACATTAAAACATACATTTATTAATGTAGTAGTGAATGTATATTTTAATATAGTAAAAAATGTTTTAAAATAGATGGATGGTTGCAAAGTAAATTCTCCTGGATCCATCGGGATTTGTCACCATTCATGTATATGCATTCATTTGTCACCGCAAAGTGATTTTGCATTCAAAATGTGAAAATTGTTTTTCTCTAGGACATAAGTCATGTTAGTGGGCCAATGGATCTCCTTAATGATATGAATGCAGAAGGCCGAGAGAAATTAGCCAAACTGCGGAAATATATTGAGCAATATGAGTGGATTGTCAGGGAAGCAAATGATTCTACTGACAAACAACTACTCCAGAAAGAAGTAGAAAGTCACCGTCAACAGTACACAAGGTATGAATAAGACCTAAAACTGGATGACTTTGGAATTGTGGGGAAAATGACATTCATTTACTCCAGGGTCAGTATTCCTAACACACTACTCACCAGGATATTAGGAAAAGTATTTGTGCTAAAACAACTTTGCTTTACAGTTCCTTATCAGCCTTTAGGCAAGCAAATATTGGTGCTATGCTCCGTATTGAGAAGGTTGCCAAAACAGAACTCTTTAACTACAGTGATAACAATGAAGGCGGTGACGATTCTGGAATGCGGTGAGTGAGATTTTCCATTATTACAAATGTTAAACTGTTTCCTGTTTGTTTTCCAAATAAATAAAGAGAATGTTATATTGTAGCCATCGAAAAGACAAAGCTGGCCTTGCCAAAATGTCCACCAATGTTACTGACCAATTATTATCGATAAGTCGAAATTTGGCTGACACGACTCAAAGAAGTGCTGAAACTTTGGAAACTCTAGGTAAGTTTCCAGGGGCTTGTATTTTAAAAATAATAATCATGCTCTTAAATCATAATAAGATATTTAATTCAATTGTGCAGCTAACTCATCTACAAGTGTTCATAGCACAAAAGATGAACTTCGCACCACATCAAGCGTCATCCAACAATCTGGAACACTCCTAGCTAAATACGGAAGGAGGGAACTTACAGATAAAGTCCTCCTTTTTTTTGCATTTGCATTTTTTTTTGCATGCGTTTTATATATAGTTTATAAGAGATTATTTTAAATTATTTTTAAAATTTTTCAAAAGTATGATGAATTATAACAACAAATTGTAAAAAAATAAACAAACACTAAATTTTTAGCTCAGACACAGCAACTAATGGCTTTCAAAACTTTTTCCTTCCACCAGTAATCTCAAACACAGTGTCCCGTATTCTTTGCAACTCCCCAATCTCTTTCTCTCGGGCAATTTTATCATTCTCCAGCTGGGCCACTTTTTCTCTTACTTGTTTGAGAAGTAATTCTAACTGTACATTTTCCTAAAATCAAAAGGAGAGTGAATCAAAATAAGAAATTTAACACATTAGTCCCATAGTTTTTCTGATCATACTCAATATCTATACAAACCTTTTCCAATTTTGAATTGACAGCCTGACTTTCTTCCTCCTTTTCCTTTAATGCTGAGAAAATAAGTGTAAAAAAATAAGACACATTGAATTACTGGTATTAATTAAAATTTTATAATTGGAGCACATACCATTCCTTTCCATCTGCAGAGATTCAAGTTCCTCTTGATGTGATGTTAAAATGTTCTCTTTTAGCAACAGCTGCTCTTTCAAACTTTTAAGATTCCGAATAGATTCATACAAATCTTTTTCTTGCCTTTGGATTGTTTCTTTCAGAGATTGCACTGTTGTTTGACAGGTTGATACCTCCTGTTTAATATAAGACAGTAAAAATAAACATGGCACAGTGATTAGTTACAGTGAATAAATAGGTGTTTTCTAAATTGAAAATTTTGTTTTAGTACCTGGCTTAGCCTTTCTTTCAGAACAGCAATTTCTTGATTGTAACTTTGGATGGTTTTGTTTGCAAGTTCATATTTAGCACACACTTGTTCAAATTCAGGGCGTAATTTCTCAAACTTCTCACGAAACTGATTAGAAATTTGATTTGCTAGGTACATTTTCTCTTCAAGCAATGAATTTACTTCAGTTGCCTTGGTTAAACTGGCTAAAAGAGATTTTTGGATATCTGAGTTCACATTATCAGTATATTCATAAAACTGAAGAATCTTATCTGCAGAAATTATCTGAAACAGTTGAAAACAAAGAGGTGAAAGCACACAAAAGATATTTTGTGAGATAAGACTAGGAAAGATAGAAATGAATGGTAGCAATAACTTACTTCTTCCTTGTTTTTCACATTACGCAATACATTTTTAACTTCAATCAAAGTTGACACAGAGCTAGGAGACGGGTTCCTAAGCAGCTCATAAGGGTGATCGACATTTCCAGCTGCTAAACACCCTTTCCCACCATCGGCCATGGCTTTCGCAAGGAGTGCAAGACTGTAAGAAAATTAAGGATTGAGGAGATTTGTAAAAAAAAAATTTAAAAAATGGTGTAAATAATAGGGGTGATTGAGTTTTGACAATTTTTGATTTGAGAATTGTAATGGTGCGGAAAAGTTGCCTTGACAGATTGTAACACTAATCATGTTTTTAATTTTTCCATTGGATAATATCTTGTGTTCGAACCAGGGGATAAAAATTTAACATTGGAATTTTATGGGAATTTTGATTGAAAAGTTTTAATCTGTCCCTGCTCCTCCAATTTTCACTTTACATCACAAATGGAACGTAATTCGTGAACTATGTCAAAAACTGAGTCCAAGGATGTATAGTATGTCAATACCTCACCTTGCATAGCAAAAAAAAAAGAGAACAGAAAAAACTTAAAAACATCCCAAAATTTCCGTTTTTGGGCAATTTTATTTGCACTTTTTAAGGGTGGAATATTACCATGCTACATAACAGTAGTCTCAGTTTTTGACGTAGATCACAATTCTGGTATTATTTTTGATGTACGGCGAAAATTAAAGGAACAAGACTGCATTCACACTTTTTGATCAAAACGCCCATAAGACACCAATGTTAAATTTGTATCCCCTGGTTCAAACACAAGTTATTATCCGATCCAAAATAAAAACATGGTTAATCTTACAATCTATCAAGGGAAATTTTCCACAATAATACAATTATCAAATCAAAAATCGTCAAAATTCGATTACCCCTGGTAATTAAGGTGTGAATAAGAACTACTAAGAAATAAAGTGAAACATTACCAATCTCCAGGAAATCCAGCACTGCAAATTAGGCTGAGAACATTTGACTTCAAATTGTTTGACCCACACATGAGAGCAACAGCAAGAAGTGATAAAACCTTCTGCTCCCTAAGCCAGAGTGTGTACGACTTCATCCATGAATTGTCACAGCAAGAAGTCCCAATTTTACAAACAAACACGAAGAGATGAACATACATCTCTACAACGTGGTCTAAGGCAGAATAATCATTCCATAGAACCAAGGTAGGAGGAATAGATGCAAGGAGAAGTTCTACTACCTGGAAAAATTACAGGAAATGCCAGGCAAAAACAAAAGAAACAACTACCTCACTTTATTTCAGTTTCCAATAGTAGATAACTCACCTCTTTGTTCAAAACTGATTGCAGCTCCATACTAAAAAGCTTGTTGTCCAAAGTTACAGTGAAGAAATTAAGTAAGGTAGTAAGGAACAAGTAACTATCTCTACTGGTTGGTGTGTTTCGTAGTAATGGAATAAACACCTACAAATGTAAAAGAAATTGACATTAATGAGCCATGAGCCAGTCATCCATAATTCAATAGACAGGAATCCTAACAGAAACATACAGAAACCAGATCATTTTTATTCAAACCACAAGTTGAACTTGAGTCAGCATCAGATTGATGTATTAGAATCAAATACATTGTATTAGTTGCCTCACCGGCTTTAACTGAGTGTCTCTTCACCCAACCAACTCCCAATTTCATAATTTGGCTATTAAAAGAACTGAGAGTTGAGATTTTTAAAGGCACTAAAATTCCTAGAAATTTGAATAATAACATAGCTATTTCTGGGTTCATTGAATCTATGCCAGTTTCCAAGAGATCCACAACTTTGCACACACTCTCAGGGATCCTAGAAGAATAACATTAAACAATAGCTCAAACATCAAAGGGGATGTATCAAGTATATTTTTTTCAGACAGCATTTTATGTTGATTCTCTATTACCAGGGCTGATGGAGGTTTCGCACACTGATTTTTTTGCTATTTATTGAATCAGCAAAAAAAGAAACACAGTGCTGTAACCGTGATCTGTTTTCACATTTGGTGGCTTCCAAAACTGTGAAAAGTGTAACTTTAATAAAGTTCATAATTTCTTCTTCTTCTGGTTTTTCGTAAATCAGGTCTCCCAGCAAAAGCATTAATTTACAAACCTGAAAAAAAAAAAGGAAAAAAAAAAAAAAATCAAAAAGGTGTAAGAGTCATAGCAATCATTAGATTATGATGTGAAGTAAAAGAACAGATAAACACAAATTTACCTCCATTTTACATTCAACATATCCTCGAACATGTAGTAAATCATTCATAAAAGTCTTCAGGTTGACAGTTTTCATTAAAATGGGGAGAGCAACACTGTTTTGGTGCAAAAGATTTGATAGAACACTTAGAGATAGCTGAACCACTAAACTTTGATTTCCAACTTTAGACCAATCAATCAAAGATGAAAACAATGGAACTGTATAAGAATCAGGCCACAATAACTTGATCCCGTAAGTCAGTGTCTGAAAACAACAAATATTATAACTTAAGGTAGATTTTAGATTGATGATGAGCAGATGATAGAACTTTACTAACCTGAAGAACTTTTAGAAGACGCACTTTCTTTTCATCGGTCAGGGCAGAAACAGCGAGTTTTGAAACCATAGGAGTAAGTTTTTTCACTTCTTTGAGAGTGGTGTCTGACACTGTAGCATTGAAATAGACTTCCAGTACATGCAATATACTCCACGCCAATGAGCTTGAACAGTCAACTAATGATAGCAATTTCCCTATGGATGAGATAAAAGTTCTCTTACTACATTCTTCAGCCTCAACTAAGATATTAGTATTGACCATTTCCTGAAAACAAAATTTATTATAGTCGAAAAGCAAAAACCAAAACTGGTTTAATCAGTCAAGTTATAAAAGTAGGAGGCCGCCCGCAGGCAATGCAAGTCTTTGGATGGTCCCATGAAATTAAAAGTGAAAGTGGTTTCACAATACTAAAATATTTCAAAATAAATAAAAGACACTTACATTAAGAGCATCCAGCAATGAGTTAACCATTAACGCATTATTCCCTTCCAATTCAAATTCCCGTACCATCGTCGAGAAGGTGGAAGCGGATGTAACACAGCTCTCCATGCTACATGATCAAATAAAATAAAAAAACTTGGGTTAAATATACTTAACAGCACAGTCTATTATTGCAATTTCCTTCAATTTCTGACTGGTAGAAACGGAAGACTAAATATTGCCTGTCTAATTGATTTGTCAGGTGTGTTTTTTGGTTATTGGTTGATGTACCTCTTCTGTACCTTAGCCTTAGACAGAGGAGTCAAAGTCACTACTACTACTTAACATTGTTCCGACTCCATGATATTATGAAATATGAATCAACCAAACGAACGTACCTTGATAAACGGTGTGAGTGTCAAAAAGAGAAAGATAACCAGATCGACAGATCTGTTGTCCCTAAGTCCACTCCGTGCTAAGTCCCTAACCCTTGCCGGTCAAGTTAATGTTTACTATTTTGAAATTTTAAAATCAAACAGTTGAAAAAAGAACAACAACTGATCTACAATCCACCAACATTGATGAGAGTTCAAACATTTTCATTCTCGAAAACAAAATAAAAATTGCAGTTGAAAGAGATTTTCTTTCAATTATACGTGTATTGTGTTTCTTAATATTATTTTCTAAGCAAATTATTTCGATATAACCTCAAAATGTGTTTTGATCTATTGTTCAAAGGTTGGCACAAAGTAAAAGTTACCCTAGCCGTTTGAAAGAAGGCACTGACTTTTCTTCGTCTTGTTTTTTTGTTGTTTTCTTTTTTCTTATCGTGGACGTGACGTCAAAATCGAAGCGTGAAGCGTCGTCCATCGTCGCGTCGTCATCGTCAGTCATTCTCATTCCATTCCGGCCTTCAGATTCCTGCGGCGCACCGTTGCTGCCTTGTGATTATCTCCTGTCTCAACTCAACTTTCAACCCTTCATCAAAATGGTGTACCAAGTTAAGAACCAGGTTTGTCCTCATCTTATTTTTTATATATTTTCTTCATTCAAAATTACATCTGTGGAAAAAAACAAATTGCGCGCTCGATGTGCAACCCATTTCCCCGGCTCGGCGCTCTTTTCTGTCAACCTATTCTTCATCCTCTGCTTGGCAAAGCCGTGAAGTGGTTTGGTTACCATTTGGCTATGGATATTTATTGCCATCCATCACTAAAATTTGGTCAACATTGGTGTGGCAGTTCTTCCTAAGTTCAATTTTATGTGTATAATTGTATGGTGTAAGGTTAGGATGACCGTTAAAATTCTCTAGCTTTCCCTGTAGTCTGAGCGTATTTTTAAATCTCTGTACTTGTTTGCCACAAGTCACTTACTGTTATACATTCTACCGAAATCCTAACTAAGATTTCCAATCTCCAACTATTGAAGGAATTTTCCGCCCCATCCTAGTCATTCCTATGATTCACAGGTGTGACCTTGAATTACACATTTTTATGTAATCATGCCTCTTCTTTCTTGCCCCCTTTCAGCGAGAATACATTGTTAGAAATGTCTTGGAATTTCGCAAAGATTCACTGTCAACCACAATTAGAAATTCCCAGAGGACTCCGATTTTAGTTTTCATGCCGTAAAGCAGTCATTGAAGGTAGAGAGTTATTAGTCGCCTGTATGTTTCGAAGCTCACCTGGACACGTGAAATCTGTGGAGTCCTTTGGGAGATCTCAAAGGACTTAAGCAATATTTCTCTCAAGTGTTCCTCCGTGAAATCACATGATTTTTTTCGAAAAGTGTGTATATCATGCACTATTCATAATTTTTCCCTTTAAGAATTCAATACTATTTGGTCACCCATCAAAATTTGGTCTCTTGGCTTGTCTAGGTCTGAGTGACAGTTATGTCATTTTGAATTTTTTTGTCTGGTCTTCTCTTTACATCAGTAATAAGTATTGCTGAGTCCCTCTAGTCTTTAGATTTTTCAGATTGTCAAAATAAATACTTTTTAGGTTGCTCATTGTTTTTAAACCTGTCATAACTCTTTTCAATTTTATGTTTCAGAGTGACCTGGAGACCAAGCTGAATGAAGCTGGTGGCAGTTTAGTGGTGATTGATTTCTTTGCCACTTGGTGCGGGCCATGCAAGATCATTGCCCCCAAGCTTGAGGTAAGATGTTACTGCTACACGTAGTGGTGAAGCAGCTCATTTCATGTTAATGGAAAGCTTATTTTGTCAGGACTTGTTTGGAAGTCAGGACCTTCATCATTATCTGTTAGCTTGTGTAGAGTAGATAAGATACTGATATGAATGTGATTAAGCAACTTTTTACTCTGTTAAATTCTTGCTCAGTTTTTAAAGGTTTAAAATTCTTCTTCACAGGAGTTGAGTCAGGAATACCTAGATGTTGTTTTCCTCAAGGTGGATGTTGATGAATGTGAAGATATTGCCACAGAGTACAACATCTCTGCCATGCCTACCTTCGTATTCATCAAGAACAAGGAGAAGGTGACAAATCTCTCTACTTCCTGCCGTAAACTTCTTGTATTTGAATACAGTATTAACTTTTTTCATTTTCTGTTTAAAGGTTGATTCTTTCTCTGGGGCTAGCTATGATTTGCTGAAGGAGAAAGTTACTCAGATGAAGTAGAAAATGCTATGTATTGCACTTGAGTGCACACACTACTTGTTTGTCTTTTTCCACAACAGTATGCATTGTTACATAATTTTTTAAAAAATATTCACTTTGCTGAAATGAATGTTTGCTGCATTATATACTCTGTTCTTTGTGTGAACAGGCCACTACCGGCCGTAAACTTTCCAATCTTAAGTATTTTTGATCTGTCAAGTATATATAAAGGTGATTGACATTGCACAGCCTGGAGAGCACAATGGGACCTGCTAGTTAACTAGAAAAAAATATTTGTTAAACTGCTGAAACTTTTACTACATGAAATAAAAACTACTATCACTATTTTATTTACATATCGTTTTATTAGAAACACATTGATTCAAAAACTATTGAGATTCCTGGACAACTCTTGCCTCATCCCCAGCCATCGTTAAAGCCTCTTGGCCAGTGACTGCAGAAATTTTTTTAAAAATAAATTTAAAGTAAATATACAGCCACTTCAAAGAGAACAGCATGACTCACCTTCAAAATCAGACACAGGAACAAAACCAGCATTGTGAGCTTGGTTAATGTTGGAATGTTCTTTTACCAATAGAAGTTCTGCACTTGTTAACTTTTCCCCCAGCTGCCTGAGAGCACTTAATATTTCAGCCTGTACAAGAAAAGAAAGATTTAGAAGAAAAGGTGACTGCAATGAACAGCCCAAGGTAATTGTTTTACCTTTTCATTGTTGAGGACAGATGAGCCTTTACCCAGTTTCACGTCTCTCTCGATATCTGCTAGTCTTTGACGCAAAAGTTCTGGTTCTCTTCTAGCAAACATTCTGATAACAGCAGGGGTTCGAAACGCAGCACTAATAGCTGCTTGTGTAGCCTGATAAGAATACAGTTGTTCTTGGATATAAATGGCATACAGAGGGAGAAAATAGGTGAAACAGGTTTTATGCGTTTACCAATTGCATAGCATTTAAATGATCAACTAGAGTCATATCGCCCGATATCATTCTAGACAGACTTTCGTTGAACTCTTTTAGCTGCTCAATAGTATCATTTTTGGTTTCTGTGTATTCAGACTCCTCCAAATCGTCCCTGAAAAGAATGCACTAAAATTATTGCCAGAGTAATCGTTAGAAATTTCTAGGTATGTCAACACGCATCTCACTTGCACGATTCTAAATCTTCTAGTTGTTGCACCAATCTATCTAGTTGCCCTTGAAGATTTTGCCGCAATTGCTCAGTTTCAATCATACCTCGGGACGTCATTTTTTGGATTTAATTTTAAATTAATTGGGGAAACTAACACTTGAATGGGTGCTTATTTTTCTTTATTTTTGTTTTTGACGTTTAAAGCATGGGTAAGGTTAGGTGATCAGTCTAGTGATGTAATAATTTCCTTTCGTTAACACTTCAAAGAGAAGTATGAATCTTTTACATTTAAAAAAAATAGCATATTGATAGAGAGCAATATTATTCACAAAATTCTACAAGTCCGTCTCTCTTCCCTTGGTCAAATCCCCGAATTCAGAGAGTTAATTGTTGATTCGTCTGCTTGGGCTTGGGGACTTCTTCCGCCGCTGCGGCGTGCCGGCGGGGGAGTGGGGAAAGAGAGGGGGGGATGTTGTACAGTTTATTGAGTTTGTTACGCCTACGCTAGACCCGACAAGCGAAGTGTACGGACTTCCCTCGTGGAAGTTGAAGATAAGCGAGGATTAAAGTTGAGAGTCACTCCTCTGATAGCTGGTTACGGTCAAGCGTGACGAAGTAGTTATAGTCATCGGGTAGTATAGTAATAAAGTCATCGACTTGTGAGGGGCTATCAAGACTAATCTGATCAGATCAGATTCTATCAATTTTTGTTGACTCACTCCCCCCCCCCCCTCAAATGATCACATCATGGGTACACAAACTGACATGGCAAAAATACTTTTATTGTATTTAATATAAGGCGAATCAACATTGTTACTGCATAAGAGACAGATAAAACTTTTACAATACAAACACTGCATAAAAAAATCTTTTGTAGCAAGAAACACAGCAATATCATTTTTGTTGTAAAACTAACTAACAAAACAGATGAGATGATGAATCATAATCATCATAATAGCAAACCTTGGCTAAAATAGCCTTTTAAAGCATCTAAATTTTACAAAAGAGGAAAATTTAAAAATCTCAAATGGACTTTTTTCTTTTTGGTAACTTTACAAAAAATACATCATCACAGCAATAGTTTTAAAACTGGCCAATGGTAAGGATGTATTTATGACACACTGAAATTATAATGGTATGACTTGAGTACACCCACAACTGTTCAAACTTTTTTTTTTTTCAGAAAAAGGACAGAAAAGGCAAGTTAAACAAACAATCACACACTTTACCAGAATTTGTGACACACATAATCAAAGACAATGACTAGATCACAATCAATTGTGAAATATGTGCGGCAAAGGTCACTGAGGCACTTAGTCACATGTATACCCACAAAGCTGTTACTAAAGTCAGTTGCGATTACAATGCATGTAAAATCAGTTTAAGATTGATGGATCTGTGCAGTGAATAATGAACAGCTCCAATATAATGACACATAATTCAGATGTATTGTTCCTGTTTCAGTTTGCTGAAGATGATGGATAGCTTCTTCTGATCCAACAAAAGGCTGAAGCGGAGTTTTCCTCTTGGGAATCATGCAGCATTTACAGACTGTGAACAGGTTCAAGAAAATTTATCAAGAGAGGAAATAGACACAACACAGTTTAATTGGGCTGTAAAAAGAATCCATTGTAAGCAAAGAAATAACCATTTTCATATAAGTCATGCCCAGAAAAAGACTGAATACGGTCAAATATTCTTTAGTATTATTATTTCAAGAAAACCTGGAAACAAACACATGCACTGAAGACGGGGTGAAAGAAAAGGCAACAGCGCTACAGAAGCCAAAACGTAAAAGCAAGATACAATAATTCATTCATTCATTATTTCCTAACACTACAAAGAAAAATTAATACGTGTCTTGACTACAAAATAAAAGTTAGTAAGAAGTGAACCAGTTTAGGTACTCTCAAGGTAGTAAAAACTAGACAGAAACAGAAAAAAAATTATTTGGAAAATTGCAGTGAATACTGAAAATCATTTAAACTTAATATACATTTCACTACTTAAACATCCATTTAAGAACAGTAGCAGTGATGTTTATTCAAGCATAATCATGCTTATATGTTAATGAAGAAAATACTTCTTTTACATGAGTTGTTAAATTGTACATACCCATTCTAGTCCAAAATTCATTCTTCACGTATATTGTTCTTTATCAAACATGATTCGAGTGAGGGTTGTGATGTGATGTGAAATGAACTATATTCAACCAACCGAGGATTTTGTGGAAAAAGTTCAAAAAAAAATAAAAAATTTTAAATGAGAATGTTTGTATTAGATGAGTTTGATAAGCCCCACAACCACCATAGCACGTGTAGCTCAAAAGACAAGGGAAAACACAAAACAGTCAGACAGTATTAAAAAAAGGCTGGAGGAAACCAATCCAAATTTGAAATGGATTCAACATCGTTACAAGCAGTATGGTTCATGAAGATAAAATGCAAGTACAAGTATAACAACAAATTTCAAGTCCAAAAGAATCCTTCCAAAACAGTCTAAATTGGAATGTATAGTAATACAAACAGCAATTGTTTTCTTTAAACTTAAGTTACAAATGTTAAGGTAACAATTTATAAAACTTAAGTGGCAAAATGTTAATTCAAAAAGGTCCCCTTTAAGACCAAATTGTAAATACTTGCAAACTGTCTAAATAAGAAAGATTTGTGCAAAAGTAGAAAACACATTTGTCAAACATATGTAAATGGCAAAAATATTCATAAAAATTCAGGAAATGCAAATATTCCTCAGAATTACTGATGTATTCTTTCCTACACAAAGAGCAACAGAGCCTGATCAGCTTAGTACCTAAGAGCATGTTAGGCTGACAAAATAAGTTTCGGTCTGTTTAGGAATTACGTTATTTAACTTTAGATTTGAATGAAAACCTATTAAACAGAATAGCCCCCAAAACACAACAGGCTGATACAGATAAATTAACTAGTTGACAACATAAGTTGTCATTAAAATAATTAGTTCACTAATTTTTGATTAGTTCCTACAAAAAAATTATTCATCTTTTAATCTTAATAACTTTATAAAATAATGAAAGAATTAGTGAGAAGCTACATTCAGTGGAAAGTGACCTTCCTCCGCTCTGACTACAGAAAAGCCAATTTGTAGATAGATTTAGATTAGATGAAAACTACCTACAGGCTTTAGTTTCCAAAACCGTAGGAGTTCTTTTATTCGAGATGAAAAATACTCTCAGCTTACAAAATATAAGTTGCAAAAAATGTTACTTGATGATAAAAGTGGGAAATCTCTTAATAATGGTCAACAATATTTTGTTGAAGGTCACTTTCAGGTTTGTCGATTGACAATATTAGAATACATAATATAAGTCGTTTTAATACAACTTGTTGAGAAATTTGCAGTTCTAGTTTGCAGTATATACTAAGCCTTGAATGGCTTAATAGTTGCTGGTTTTCGAATAGATGATGTCACATGGCCATACAGATGGACGCGTACCTTATTGACACACTGCATTGACATATAAAAAAGATAGAAATTTAAAAAAAGTGGACATGTACCTAATTGATACACTGCAATGGCACATAAAAAGGAAAAAGAATGAGTAGAAAAAAGAACAAAGCTTTTGTGATGCCTAATATGTTCGTCACAAGATTTTGCATACACAAAAAGCAACTAAAAAAGGACAAAGAGAGAGAGAAAGACTGACAAACAGGGAGGGACAATAGGTCCCTTGAAAATCATGTAATAAACAACACAACAATTTGCACATGCTGTGAGTTTTTGTGCATGAGGCATTAAATGCAATCTGAGAGGACATATGTTAAAAATGTAGGGTTAAACAAACAGCACATCAGAAAATGAAAGCACATTGACACTATATGTCGGTAGAAAAAGAAAAAAGTTATACAAAGGGGGAGGTAGGTAATCTTCTAGAATCGGGTTCAAAGAAATGGTCCCAAAAATCCAATACTCCCTTATTGTTGTAAATAAGACAAGATTTACCCATCAAACAAAAGCAAAGTCATGTTTCCAACATAAGTGTACGTAGATGTAAGATAAAGTTAGTTTCAGGCAAGCATTGTTACTTGAGCTTGGCTCAGCCATCAATAAATACCTTTGGTTTAGAACTATATTATATTAAAACCTTCTCTGCCAATCATAAGAGATGAACAGCTCCAAACAAAACAAAGCTTTTTCGACCTTATGATTTCCAGAGACATATCAAAACATAAATAATGCAGGTAACAATGAGACTAGTTAACACTACCTGCCCTCTATGCAAGCGCTTAGCTCACATGGGGACTGGTTTGGTCGGTTACTCAATCAGTTCCGCGATCGAGGCGCGGCTTCACGTTCCTTGCCACTGATCGAGGAAAGCATGCGCAAGCTGACAGGCGGCGGGGTGCCGTGCGTAGAATGCGATGTAGCATGGGAAGTGTGGGCAGGAGTGTGATGGTTGTGCGCGGGGGCAGGGTTAGGCGAGGGGGCGGGAGAAGGAGCGGGCACACGAGGCGGCAGGATAGCAGCGGACGCTGTTACCTTGGCAATGTCTACGCCCGTCATCTTGCGAACCAGCTCAGGGACCGTGGCCACAATCGATAGAACTTCTCCAGTGAGCTTGGCAGCACCAACTTCACCAGAGCCACTAGACACCATTGTAATCTTCTTGGCCTGTGATAGCGGAGCAGCTACTTCAGCAGCAACCTGGGGGAGGATAAGAAAAAGCGTATCAAGTGAAACTGAAAGTTACATGGTCGGAAATAGTCTGCAAAATAATGATGATACCTTGGGTAGGGCATCAAGCAGCATGTCAACCATAGCAGCCTCCCGATACTCCTTCCATGCATCTGCCTTTTTGGCCATCTGCTCAGCTTCTGCCTTAGCTTTAGCTTCAATTGCAAAGGCTTCCGCCTCTCCCCTCATTCTAACAGCTTCCGCTTCAGCCTCTGCTTCAAGAATGACACGCTGTTTGTTGGCCTCCGCCAGTTTTTCAAGCCTGAAGAAAGGTACACAAAGCTTATTTGTGGTAACAATAAAATTTACACATCATAAGTACCAATTCAACAAGCCTACCTGTATTTTTCAGCTTCAGCAGGGCGACGCACGGTAGCATCCAGTTCTCTTTGTCTGCGCTGTATTTCTTGATCCTGGACCAGGATTTCTTGTGTACGCTCAACTACTTGAATTTGCATTTGTTCTTCTTTAATCCTTTGCTTGGTTTTTGCAGCTTGCAGTTCATAAGCCATCTCAGCTTCTGCTTTCTAAAAATTATAAGTTAATAACAAAGCATATTTTTAAAACAAAATTTTTGTTTCACATTTTTAGATAAGAAAACATATATGATATACTAATTAAAGGACATTAATCTTACTTTCGTTTGAACTTCCACGTCGTACGCTGCCTTTTTAAGCTCAAAATCTCTCTGTGCTTTGGCAATTTCAGTGTCGTTTAAGAATCTGATAAACAAAAAAAAATGACGACACATTTCAGATTTTTCCAAAAATTACCTTTGAAAATTTTTTATCATAACCCAAAACAACAGTAATGATTTGTTTACCTTGAAGCCATTCTCTCTTCCTCAGCAATTGCTTCTTTGATCTGAGCATCTCGTCGTGCCTCTGCTTCACCCATACGGGCATCTCTCTTGACTTCAGCAGTGCGAGCCATTCCCAAGCTCTTTAGGTAGCCCTAAGGAGAAAAGCATAACATATAATAAACATTTCAATTTTAATCCCATTTGAAACTTGAGGGTGTAATTTTCTAGGGAGACTTAAACTCCCTATAATTGGCAACAGGTAACAATACAGCAAAAAGGGAGGCAGGAAGACAGTGTTGATACTGCCAGGTATGTTCACCTTAGTTTTTTTTTAATTACCAGTAGATAAAAATAATTTTATTAATAGATGTCTACAGATAAAAACAAAATCACTACTATCTACCTGACCTAAAACACATGAACTTTGCAAAGCAAATATAGGCACTAAAAATGGCAGACATCTAATTAAAAGAACAACCTTTCAGTTATAGCAATAGTTTAGGGATTTGGAAGTATAGTAGAAGGAAAGTATGATTGTAACATAGCCTCCCAGGACAGTTTAGTGCACTTAAAAACAAAACTCCCGCTAAACACAGCACACAAAACACACAGGGTGAATATCCAAATTTCACGGCCAAGTACATGAAGCTCTTGACAAAACTTTCTACAAAAGAACGTGGCTCGGTTTACTACCTCTACAAAGCTCACAACACTGCAAAGCACTACAAAATCAAGGATACTAAAAGCGCCCCGTAACATTTGCCTGGAAAAAAATAAAGAACTAGGTACCTGGTACCTTGGCCACTCTTTGTATATGGTGTCCATTAATATCAAGGTACTAATTACTGATTCTAAACCTAAAGTATAAGTCAAAGGAGAAATAAATTGTTATTTTAGTTTTGATAATCGATGATCTCTTGAAGAAACACTTAATGAAGAGGAAGAAAAAGCATTTACAGGCAAGCAGAATTTGAATATAACAGTCTTTAACTGCTACAAGATACAACGAAATTTTGTTTTGTAAGTATCAAGCTGAGAGCTAGAGGCTTTAAAATACAACTCAAAGTCTGTAAAGACCTAAAAGCGTCCCTAAGACTACTGGAACACCACATGCCATGGGCCGTAAAAATGGACATACCTTAGCACCCTTTGTAGCAGAACATGAAGCTCTAATTAGTACTCAACAACAACAAGTCTTACACACTTAATACAGACAATAAAAATAAAGAAATACTTCAAAAAACATATAGATAAACATAGTATCAGGAAACAATTAAGGCTAGATAGACAATATCAATATCCACAGAAAGCCCATACACTGAGTAGAGAAAACTAATGCAAACAAAAACTAATAAGATTAAAACAAAATTTGATATTTTATTATTCATTAGTGTTTGTGTCTTTAGCACTACCACTACAGTTCAAGAAACTCACTGGTTTAAATTTGGCATAGTTACTTCCACACTCTTAATGTCAAGCAACTAAGCATTTTTTTTTAAAAAATTTTTTTATTTTTTTGTGAAGTTATAGAAAGAAAAAATTATAAAAGAAATGTTATAGGTCAAAAAAGGAAAAGTGGCAGAAACTGCTTTAAATGGGCCACATCTACATACATCAACACACAAAATTGATGAAGCTAGTGTTTGAGACAGAAAAAGGTTATATGTATATTGAGAAGCATGCTGTAACTACAAACATTTAAGGGGCACAAGTCTATGTACTTCACAAAAACAAAATATGTCAACTGCATTTGATTTTTGAATAATGAGAAATAAAAATAACTTTCAAAGGTAACAGGTATTAAATTTAGATGTCAATTTGAACAAACTTAAAAGAAAAGTAGAAAAACTAGGTAATGCTAAGACCAAAACGCCTCATGAACTCCTGCTACTTGGTGGCTACTTCTCCAAAATGTACAATGACCATTATCACAGTCACAACTTCTTTTTTTTTCTTTTGCAATCAAAGGACTAGACACTCGTTAAAATTTGATTTAAAAAAAAGGTAATTCAAGAATTTTAAAAAATGACAACCTTAGCTTAAAATAGATCAAGGTTGCACAACGAGTATCATTTTATCATTTTTCTACATAGGATGTAAAATAAAATTATTTTTAGATTCTATGGAAATTGTAGACCACTCATTTTCAAGATAGCTATAGATATATTTAACGATGGTACCTAGGAGTGCAAAATATACTCCCTGATTTTATTTTAAAAGAGATCTACGTGTTGATCACATTGTCCTTGTCATATCATGGAAAAGCAGTGACCGTCAGTGTTTAAGTCAACAATTGTTTAGACTGACAATCACAGTTAGACTGGATGCTTTGCATAACGGCAAAAGTTACCTCCAGTTAATATGGACAGAGCAGATTGGATTGGTTACAAGAAATAGAGAAAAAGTAAAGTTTGTAACAATTTTGACATACCTCCTCATCTCTGATATCCTTGAGGGTGTAGGAGACCACTGTAATGCCCATGTTCACGAGGTCAGAAGATGCCACCTCAAAAACTTGTTTACTGAACTTCTTTCTATCTTTATAAATTTCCTTTAATGTAAAAAGGTGTAAAGTGAGACACATCTGTAAAATAGACACTAAGTAATATTGGTCAGCATGAAGTTTACCTCGACTGTCATGCTACCCATGATGGCACGTTGATGGCCCTCCAATGTGACAAGTGCAATATGTTGAATTTCAGCTTCTGTCTTGTCCAGGAACTGTTCGCATGCTGCCAGCAGCATTTCCTCATTTTGACCTTGGATTTTCACCTAAAATGGGATAAGAATTGCTCAATTATAAGAATTAATTAAGGTTGTCAGAAAGAAACGAGTTTTTTTTTTTTCGTTTTTTTTTTTCCAAAAGTACCTGAGCAATACCAGTAACTGAAATAGGCACTCCTTGGCTAGTATAAACTGTTGGGCTTTCAACTTGCAGTGTCATAGTATTAAGGGAAATCCTGGAACAAGAGCCACATTGTCAAAAAAAGCAGATGAAAGCATTTAACAAATATCAGAAAATGCAGCGCTCACCTCTGAACACATTGAATTGAGGGCCAAACAAAGGCCCTGCCCCCTGGTACCAACAAAGGTTTGCCATAACAGCAGCCTGTGACACAAAAAATCAATGATAATACTAGCCACACGGTGCAGGGGAAATATTACTTGTAGAAAAATTTAGAAAAATCAATAGAAATGTCACACATTACAACAAAACTTAGATCATTTGAACCATGGCAATTAATGTTACAATACAGTAATAAATAAAATAACTATTAAATTTTCAGTTTCCATGTCTCTCTAAATTTGCTCTTAACTTCTAGTGGTGGGGTTGGCATATCAAATGTATGGGATAGGGTGAGTTATGTGAGTGAGATGCATAATAACAAAATTACAGTTCTAGTTCATAGCTTATACGAATGATTAACACCAAGACATTGTTTCTTTCCTTTTATTTAGTCTGCTGTGAACCAGTTCTCATAATTGGCTTAATTGAGAGGAATGTGGGTTGTCAAACGGAAGTAGGCGGAGACGGCGTGCCGCTTGTCAGTGAAAAGGATACAAGAAAACATTCAGTTTGTGAAATAATATCAATCGTCTTACCTGATACAACGAGGGCTTCGTTAGGGCCGCAAGTTACAAAGCCCCACGTCATATTTCTCCGGGTTTTTGGCTTTGAGTACACAATTTTGTCAAAATGAAATGCTACGAGCCCCTAACTAAAATGGCAGGCACACGCCACAACAAAACAAACAAACAACAAACTAAAAACAGAAGAAGAACGCCAACGATCGACCAGTTCGAGTCTGGGCTTTCGAGTAGAGTGCCGGGAAATTTGAAAATGAATGTTCAATGGGGTCAAAATCGTGAGTGTGATTATGTTTTTGAAGCTTAGCGAAAATTGATAAACAATAATTGAATTGAAAAAATTAAAACTATCAAGTTATCAATGTGCTTACGGTTACCCCTAGGCTTTTGTTTATTGGTTTTTCAAATTACACAGGTATATAATAATTATTATTATTTACACACATTCACAATGTTTTGCCTAAAATGAATATAAGTTTGCTATGCTTTAGGTGGCTTCCATGCCTCAATTTTGGGTCGAGTAGTGCTGTAAGGTACGTAGGCTTTCTCAGTTCCAGAAGGGTTTTCCTCATGATCTTTGATCCACTTATACTTTGGTCTTGTTGGGTCCTGAAAAATTTAAATTGTAAAATTATCTGTAACACGAATTGCATCTAAACTTTTAAGACAGCAAGGCCAAACAATACAATACATACCTCAGATGGAAGCCTATCGGTCTTATAATGCATCCACCCATACCATTCAGCCGGGATTTGACTGCCATCATAGTCATACCCATATCGTTCAGAATACTCTACCCACCGATTGCGCCCTGGAACAAAACAACAGTTATAAGTCAATTATGTGCAAAAAAATTATATAAATTTAAAAATATATAGATTTGCAAGATAAGTGTTCCTACAATAGTGGCAAGCCAATCACAAGAGTCCAGCTCCACCTTCAAACTTACAGCACCAAACTAGGCAAAGCCCAAAGCCTGTTAAAATGTATTTGATTGAAATAACAATTTGCGTATCACCTACCCAGGAAGTACATAGGATTCTCATAGTACTTGTTCCCAAACTTGTCAACGCCCACCAGTTTGCCTTCCTTGACCTCGTCAATCCTGATAAACAAAAAATAACCAAATTATTTGACTGTTTCGGAAAATGAACATAATGAATAAATAGAAATGCAGCATACAGAATAAAGGCCACCCTGATGAAAAATAAAGTGACTCAGAGGTTAGATTTAACACAACATTCACCTTGCAGCACGAAGAAGGAAACCTTTCCAGCCACCACTTTGATCAACAATACGCTTCAAACGTTGAAACTTATCAGCTAATGAGCCGGGCCTAACGACGTTGCCAGCCATCTTATCCCTACTATTTACTGCCAACTGAGGTTCTCGTGTTTGCAAATCAAATATTCACTGAACAACGAGCTAACGAGCACAGCTGACGGGTTCTCCACAGACAGTTTCGGCTGCTACGACCTTCAGCTTCTCCAACATAACAAATACATTACTGAGTTAACATTTTGGATTGATGATTTACGGAGTAATTGAACACTTGTAATTCTGTGTTTTTACAAATAAATCAATTTTTGTAAAGTTATAAAGTGCTTATAAAAATGATATAGAGTTATATTTTGCCATTGTCTTCATGCATGGTCGTTGGCAATCCCATTTGGAGGTAAACAACACTAATTCAGACGAGTTTCTGATGAACTTGCATTTGCAGTCTGCAACATGCACCAGTGGCGTTTTTAGTAGACATCATATTGGACAGATATTGATTTTGCAAGTGCCTCTCCTGTAAATTACAACTCTCTCCCTAAAAGCAATTTCTGGACCACCATATTCTCAAGTAACGAGAACACTTAAAATATTCCTTTCAGTTGGAATCGGATTCTTTTGTCATCATTTGTGGTGCAAACGTTAATATCCCTGGTAGGCTGGGTCACATCTAGATGAGCTCTATCCATGTTATAAAAAGGCCAACTTTGAATGTGTAAATCACGTAAGTGACAATCATTTGAAATCGGGTTAGGTCGAAAAAGTTTTGGGGTATTCCCGCCAGACGCGCCAAGTCCCCTTGTTTGAAATCTTTTAAATTTATGCAAGTTCTCTTTTGTTTAAGGTTCAGTGAAATTAAAAATGTCTCAAGAATTGGACAACTGTCACCAGACCCTCAGCAACCCAACTCCATTTCGAAGCAATCTAAAATTAATCACATCCCTTTTGCCAACCGTGAGTGATGATGTGCTTGATACAATACGAGCTATTGTTCCACCACCACCCCCCGTTTTAACAACTCTCTGTGCAAGATTAGATTGTGACAGGTACGGACTGAGTAACTATCATCATAACTGTGAATGTTTGTTTGAATACTCTTAAAATGAAGTGGCTCTTAAAATTTCAGTCCTAATTCAACTTTAGATGACAGTGATGACAGTAGTCTACTTGGGGAGTGTCTTTACACACGTCGCCCCACAGAGGTAAGAGTCAGCTACTGCATTACTCTAGCAATTTAACCCACCGTAGCTTTTTTCCTCCCCAATTCCAATTCCACAGTTACTTTATTAATGCTTACAGGAAAGCCTTTTGGAAAAAGTAAGAGGTCCAACATATTCTGTACAAGAAGCTGTAATTAAAATTGAAGAACTTTTTTTCCAACTTATAGAGCCAAATAAATATACAGATAAGAATGAACTGACAGTGAGTTTTTTAAGGATATGTCACTCCTTTAGATTAAGAAAAAAAAATTGTTTCGTGATGCTTATTCTTCTTAAATTACAGGATTGTATTTTGCAAATTATGGTGCTTTGGCCCGAAGACTCAGCACTGCAGGAACAGTGTCTTAACTGTTTTGTACGACTAAATGAGCAAAACAATGACTTCTGCCCATCTCAGCCGGTTTTAAATTCTATCTTATCTACTATGAATCAGTATACCACAAATGAAATGGTAGGTTAAATAATGTGGAATATTCCTATACTTATTTTTCTTTGTGTGTCAGTTTCCTTTTAAAATTTGGGTCTTACCCACTTTTCCTTAAGATTAACAGAAGCGGTTTCAAACTTTTAATGGGGAAAAATATTTATAACCTATTAAATTGCAAGATAGACCTTGCAAAATTAGTTTTTAATGCATTGTGCAGAATAAATGGAGTGGATTATTTTATAGTCTACGCCAAAAATATAGGTAATTATTAATTCTCTTAATTCTTCTATTATTCTTCTAAAAGAGATTTGAACATACAACTTTACTTTTAAATTATTATGAATAGTCAGAGATCTGGAGCCACTGGAAAAGTCTCAGCTCAGATCAGAGAAACATTACATTGAAATGTTGTTGGACTTCCCAAGTCGCCAAAATGACACAGTGACCATAATGTTACGATGGTGTGCTTTGGACATCTTGATGATGCTGGCAGGTAATGTTGATCTATTTCCAATTTCCCAACTAAATTCAGACCATGTTGAAACAAGCTTTAAATTAAGATGTATCACAACATTGTAAAATTGTTACTTAATGTTTTGATGTAGAAGAAACAAAGCAGTGGGATACGTTAATCTCTGTAGACGGCCAATCAAAGTTGCAAAGGCTGTGTCAAATACCAGAATTTGAAGACAGATGCAGATTTATACTGGACAAAACTTTTCCTTCACACAATTTCAAGGTAAGAAAAGAAAAGTACTTCTTGACAATGATTAGTCGTTAGATAATAATAAAATAAAAATTAACATTCTAGGTCAGTGAATCATTCATGCACTCTCCAGCTTTTATGAGCATCACAGAAAAATCTTTGATGCAGCCAAAACATAGGCAAGTGGGTAACTTGAGTCATGAATGTATTAGAATGGCACAAGGGGAGAAATCTTTAACGCAGGATAATAATGAATACAATGGAAGACCACTGACCCCATCACCAGTGCACCACACAGCTGTGAATTTTGATGACAAGAAATTATCAGAGGATGAAATTTTACTATCATGTTCTCCACCACCAGAAGACTGTGTACGGACAGGGACACAGGCATGGACAGGGAAAGAAAATGATATAAGAAATGCGTACACACCAAATCAAAATGCAGAACAGAAAAGTACTAGTAATAATATAAGACAAAACTGTACACAGAAAGGTGTCAGTAAAGTCGGAGCTCCTATAAAATCAAAATTTCAGATATCTGTAGGAAGTGATATTCTTACAAGTTGTATTATTTGTAAAGAGCCAAAGGGTAAGCACATTCTCTTGGTAAAACAACTGAAACAAATAGCACACTGTCTTCATCAACCTAGCAACTTGTTGTTGTTTAAGTGCTTAGAAGCAAATATTTGTGAGGATCACAGGATGTGAATCTTGTTCTTTCTTCTAAGTGTGACATAGTGTAATGTTTTTAAACCTGTTCCATTTTCTTCATTAATTAATTTATTATTTTAATAAAATTAATATATATGTTCTTATTAGTGATTGTGATTATTAAACAAACCAAACTGAAATTTGTTGCAATCAAACTTCGACTAAATATCTAAGAAACTCAAAAAGATTACAAAAGGTTTCTGCACAACTATATGTGCACATACACAGAAAAGAAAACTTTATCAGAGCTCGGTTGGTTGAGCCTAATTGCCCAGATGGGGCAACAAAACTATCAAAATTTTAAACATTATATAACCACTTCAAAATCATATTTTAAAAATGCATCAAAATGATTGTCCTGAATAGGCTAGATGAACTTAAATATAATATCACAGAACTCAGTATTAAAGCTCTTATCTAATAGCACAGAATATTATTGACGGTAGGGCCTAAATGGTTGCAACATATTTTCCTGAATAGAATCAAGAACCCATTGTTCCTTCACAAATATAACACTGGTAAACGATGACCGTCTCTGATATGGTCCGACTATTAATTTGGCTTGACGAGCTGTGTTGACAATATTAGCACCACATAGCCCCAGTAGGTCAACTAAATCTGAGCGTGGTGGAGTTGTATCTTTTGATACATATATTGATTCAATAGAGCTGAAAATATCAGGATTCACACCAAGAGTCTCCCGTGCAATCCTGCATTGCTGGAAAATGGGGAACACAATAATAAAAATTCTTACTGTGGACTTTACTTATTAAAGACTGCCCTAGCAAAACTCAAAAATCAATGTTAGTTATACCTTAATAGCAGGGAATTCATGAAGCTCAAAAGCCTCCTCATCTAGCCAGCGACCTGCCTCCAATGATCTCATGACCTACAAGCAGGGGAGAAAAAAAAAGACATAAAAAACCTGATAAAGCTTACAAGTACCGGTGATTAACCAAATATAACGCAAACAAACTACTAACCCATTCTTGATGGAGGATCCAGCAACCATAGGCAATACCTTTCAACAAGTTAATAGTCCTTTTGCTGTCACCACACACAACATGAGTAGTTTTAGGAGATACCGTTGGTTCTAAAATCCAACCCCCCAATTGTTTAATAACAGCAGCAACAACATCTATATCTCTGTAAGATTTAAAAACACTAATGAAGAAACGTTTAACAGACAAGTAAAGTGACAAGTATCCAACCCCATGACATGTTTACAGCTTCTTCTCTTATTAAGAAACAGATGTAGCTCACCTGCGATGCATAAAAGTGCACACCATAGTCCGCATTTGAGGTTGCGTCTTTCTCTGCCGATATTGTGACTGCACAGATCCTGGTGTACTGCGCACAAAGCAAGATGATCTCCTTGGTGTGTTTACCTGTTTTCTCACCCTTCTTGTGGGTAAAATAGTTCTCTGCTTACTTGATGACGGACAGGTGTAGGGATTTTCTGGACGTAAATCTTCTTTGAAGAATTCAAAAATGGTAGAGTAGATAAAAGTTACTTGTAACTTAGATGAGATAGAAGAAAAAAGCTTCTTACCTTCTGAATCATAGTCATTAAGTGGTTGAGAAAGGAAATCTTTCTGTTGCAATGGCATTAGTCTTCGTTTGTGTCTTTGATCTGATGACACAGACATTCCAGATGCACCAACTGTGTTTATTTTATTGAGAACAACACTCAATTCCTTCAATACAATGTTCTTATTAGATAGCACAGGTCTTTGCCTAAACAGAATAAATTTTGTTAAATGGAAACAGCTCAAAACTTAAATTAGGTAACTAAAGAAATACTTTTGTAGTTTTGTTGAAAACACATGTTACTACTTACTGTTTGTTAACACCAGAGTCGGTTTGATGTTCCTCTTCCCCACTACTATCTGAAGATTTCTCATTATCCTAATTAGGGAATCATTAAGTTTTATAGATAGCAAAAGAAAATATTCAAAAAGTATACAGCAACACTTACTTGAGATTGTGGAGCTTTTTTAACTTTGGATCGATATTTTTTAATATAATTGTTCAGTCTTTCCTCTCCTTTACCAGCTTCAAAGTCCGGTTGTAATGACTTCATCTTCTAAAAAACAACAGTATATAAGATAATTTAGATTAGCTTAGATTAATGGTAATGCTGGTGCTTGCTGCAAACCAAGTCCTTATAGATACAAGAAAAAGAATCATGATTACTCTATATTTTTTTATATTTTGAGACTCTTCATAGAGATGCATATTGAGTGGAGGATGTTTATTTTCTGGAGCAACTGCTGTGAGTTCTATACATTCATCAATCCACAGAACTGAGACTAGATGGCATCCTTGCTTTCTTGCTTGTCGTAAAGTGGCAGAAGAACCTTCATTAAATATAACATGAGTGACCTGCAAAAAACCAGTCATGATGCAAAATGAAAACTTTTAGAAAAATTGAGAGAATATACTGATACTTAAGAAGAGAAAGTACTTCTTTGTTCATCTTCTCTACCACAGTAGCCCCTAAAGCTCTCAGCTGAGTTCGAACACCCATTGATCGATTATCATGACCAGACCTCACTTCAACGTACGCAACAACCCCTAAGACAGACATATAATTAGTTTTCGCAAAATAAAAGAACTTGAAGGAAATTAACATTTGAAAAAAATATTCAACATGTAAAAATTTACCATTTAACAAGACAACCTTACCTTTCAAAACAGCTGCCAACCTCAGACAGTCTGCTTCAGACTGCTGCTGACAGTTGGACTTGGACAAAGTGATTTGATCAGATGTACAATTTTGAATTGATCCACGGTTGTTAGTAGTTGAAATATTTCCTAGATAATTAAAACAATAATTCAAACACTCTTTTCTTAAATTGTTAAGGAATGTTGGTGACAAATTGATGACATACTTCCTGGACTTATAACACTTGCAGCATTTCTCTTCAAGAATACACGACATCTTGCAGCAGAAGGAGAAACAGGTTCAATTTCTGTTGATGCCCGTGTTGTACTGATTGAGTCCACAGATGATATGGTATTTTCAATCACTAAATTAATAGTTGATTCAACACTAGTAGATTTACAAGCATCAGAGTTTTCTTTCAGCCTTTTCACTGGAAGTTCATTGTGAGGAGACTTAATGGGGGATGATAAACTAGCTGTAGCAGGCTCTTGAATTAACTCATCAGCACCTTCAAAATCAGTTTCACTTGAATCTGATATTGGAGTACGCTTTCTAGATCTGCTACGGTGTAAACTAGCAGCTTTTTCAGATTCCATTGAATCAGAAGAGCTACTCTGACATCTTTGTTTTTGAGCTACTGCTTTATCACGATGTTTGGTAGCAATAATTCGATCAACAAAATCAACGGGAGAGACATTCACATTTCCATCTCTCTGAGGTACAGGTGAATTGTAATTGGACTTCTGATCTTTAACAGCACCCTCTATCCTCTTCGGTGAACAAACTTTCAGAGACAACTGTTGTGATTTATCGAGAGATATTTTTGGCGTTGTAGGTCTTTTGTTGACATTGTTTGGGTCAGGAACTTCGGCCGCTTCATTACTTTCGGTCGAGGCACTGCCAACCTGGCCCTGGACTGACAAGTTAGGACTCTCTTTTTCTGAGAGTACTTCATTTTCCAGTTCAGGACTAAAGTTGTGAGGTGGCTTAGAAACTTGAGGCGGATCTTGGACGAAACCGGCATCATCGGCCCCGTCGTCTTCCAGAGGAGTGCTTGTCAGGATGAGAGTGCTCGATAACCCCTCTTCGACGGTGCGGGACTGCAGTCCCTCACAAAACAACCTGTACAGCTGTGACATGCTGGAGAAAAGCAGAGGAAAGTGGCGACAGAGTTCCAGCTGTGATGAGAAGACATAAGATATACCCAAAGATCAAAACTACAGCCCGACGATGCACCAGGTGCATTTAACCGCACCACCACAACCAACAACACAACATGTTTGAACATGTTATGTTTGATTTTGACTAGTTTTGCCAACATGGGACAGCACCGAAGGTATCAACTTTTAAGTTTTTCCAAAGAGTCACACGCATTAGAAGTTCCATTAAGTATAATTTGCGTTCTACATTAAACATGTTCATGCTGTAAAAACTTTGGACGTGAAAGTGTTCAAGAATATTGTTCCCATTCGCTGTAATCACGGTTATTTAATCCGTTGGTAATAGCAACATACAGCCTGATAAATGTCAACATGGCTGCGGTGGCTGCTGTCGCTGCTCGGCTAGTGTGCGGCTCACGGTGTTTTGACTGACATTTGGACTTTTTAAGGGTCTATTTTTTATTGAATTTTGGTCGAAAGCGTCTTCCAAATATGCCTTTTCAATCTTGTCCCTTTCGGTGATTTATAATCGATAAGTAAGTGCGTTTTCGTACTGTTTCTGTGATTTGTTTATTGAACACCAATTTCACTGTTTTATGTAACTTTTCTGTTTATTGATTCGTTGGTAATCACTTTTCAAGTTGATTTGGGTGAATTGTATGTCCTCTTTACATTATTTTTAGTATCACCATAATTGTGTTGTTTCCTAACACGGAAAAGAATATTCCTATGTGTAGGTTATGGGCTTCCTCACCTACAAATCTTGTAGTTTCTTTCCCTCTATTTTCCCGTCGCTGTTTCAGTATTATCTCATTTATTTATTTTTCCTACCATCGAATTACCATAAATATTATTTCTTAAGTTCCTTTTTGCATTTATTACATTCTCAATACTGCCCAGTTATGTTGTCCATAGTTTTTCATATTTTATTTTGTATCATCGTTTAAAACTGTTATATATTTATTTTTAACTTTATTATGTACTCTTTTTTTTCAGCTATGGCAGATAGTGATGAAGATAGAGAGGGGGGTTTAAGTGGACCTAGTTCCTTCTTAGTGGGAGCTTTGTTTGGGAATATTGATGAATCGGGAGAGCTAGAAGATGGCATTTTTAGCAGCGAAGAAAAACAACATCTTGCCTCTCTTAGTCAACTTTGTCTTCAGTCTCAGCTCTCTGGGCTTCTAGAAGATGGTAACAGTGTATCTAATAAAACAGAAGACTATAACAATAGTAGAAGAGGGCAAAGTGATGCAGACTCTGACGATAGTAACCATAAATCACCTCAAAGGCTCAATTCAAGACGCAGATCATCTGCCCAAGATAGTAGTGAGTATTGGCACTTGGTCTGTAGTTACTTAAAAATAGCAATTAGTTACAATTTATTTTCATTATTTTCCTTATTTTAGCTGACTACAATATCAAATCACCTAGTGCCCAAGACTTTTCTGACATGAATGAAGTGGCTGATGAAGAAAGTCTTACTGTTAATGGTGACTCAAGTGAAATAGCACCTCAAATCAGCACAGATATTCCAAATGTTTTAGGTGCTGACAGTGTATGTGAAGCAGAATTAAATCAGGATCAAGTTACAAACCATGGAGAATCAAGCAGTCAAGATAGTCAGTTGTCTTCACCTAATGAAATTAAAGAAGACATCAAACCATCTACCCAAGATTTGAATCCAGTTATTCATTCGCCTGCACCACAATCTAGCAAACAGCTTGAATCAGTTGAAGCTTTAAATGCTGAGCCTGTGAAAAGTTTGTCTCCCAAATCTGAAACAGATTTGGGTTCTTCAGTTCCGGAGCACCTCACCCAAACAAGCAATGAAACGTCTATGATCCCACCTTCAACATCCACTGCTACTGACTTCACAGATGCTGATAATTTGAAACCTTTATTAACTTCTCCCTCTCCTGTTCCTACAGAAACAGGTGACTCAGTTACATTTGCACCCCTTCTCCCTGTAAAAATTGAGTGTGAATCTGTTAGCAGCAGCAATAATATATCTAGCCCCATTCAAGAAAATAGTGTACCCTGTCCAAACGATACACCCCTGATTCATGATGAGGCTAGTAAAGTGGAAGATCGCACTGCTTTAGATTATGATGCTGATGATGAAGGCACAGAATTAAAACTTGCAGACAACGACCTCATGCCCCCTCCTCCTGTGCCTGATGGTAAAAAGTCAGATGGGGAAGAAGAGAGTGAAGAAGCCAAAGCAAAGAAGCGTGAGACCCCTTTAGCTTCAATGTTGCCTTCAAAGTATGCTGGTATAGATGTAACCGAGATATTCCCTGACTTTCGAGTTGACAAGGTGTGTTAACTTACTCTTAATTTAATGTACTGGTATATTGTATCTTTTCATGACAGCTAATCTAACTTTGTCTTCAGGTTTTACGATTTTCTCGGTTATTTGGTCCGGGAAAACCCAGCAGCTTACCTCAAATATGGAGAAGTGTCCGTAAGCGCCGACGTAAGAAAAAGCATAGGCGGGAACTTGTAGATCATTCTGATTCCGGGTCAGATACAGATCGACCTGGTGGCAAACCAGGTTGGGAATTCAACTATGGCCCTCCACCAGAATCAAACCAATGCATGTCTGATGATGAGGTACTCATAATACATTCCAAGCAGAAATTATTTCAAATGATTGTACGTATCTACCAAGATTTAAAGCTTACTATGTATGTATGGGGATTTTGCTTCTAGGAAAAGTTATTAAAACCGGTGAAAGATGAATCACAGGAAGGAAATCAGGAACAAGGCGATAGCAATGACATGGGTCCTCGAGTAGCGGATTGGCGATTTGGTCCTGCTAATTTTTGGTATGATATGTTGGATGTACCTGAAACTGGAGAAGGCTTTAATTATGGTTTTCGTCTCATGGAGAAGGTATGTATTTATCCAGAAAGAAATGAGCTGAACTTGGTGTATTGTGTGTAAGAAATAGTGAACAATCATTGACAATTTATTGTTGTTTCATTTCAAATCATTTTATTAAAAAAAGAATGAAAAGGAAGAAAAGAAGCAGGACACATTTCCAGATGATTCATTTCTCATGGTTTCTCAGTTACACTGGGAGGATGATGTTGTATGGAATGGAGATGACATCAAACACAAAGTATGTTATATTCCATGCTGAGTCTTTCGAATTATGGTTCCATAGAAAGTATTAATCCCTTCTCATATTTTGCTATCTTAAACATTTTTCATTCATATGCATAGGTAAATCAGAAGCTCAACTCAAAATCTTTTGCCTTTTCTGGCTGGTTACCAAGTGGTGGGAATCGCACTGCAGCACAGGCCTTCAGCCAGCCTGGAAAAGGTGTTTCACAGATCATGGGGGTAGGAGGACGTCTTGCCACTCCTCAACTTGGAGTGAAATCTGGAAAGCCCGGGTATTTCTCAATCTATTGATTTATTTGGGTTACCTTAGAAATCATTTGGGGAACAAAGTTCTGAAGGAAAATGCAGGGATAATGGACACTTCTCTTTTGCTAGGACCAGCAACAAATTGGGTGCCCAAGGACCTGTCACTCCTCAAAGACAGGACGACCCTCATGATGATACGTGGTATTCAATATTTCCTGTTGAGAATGATGAGTTGGTTTATGGAACTTGGGAGGATGAGGTACATTAGTATTGCAAGTAATTTTTCACTTCTGCTACCTTTATGTAAACCTAATGTCTTATTTTCCTTTTGTAGATTATTTGGGATGCTGAAAATATGACCAAAATTCCCAAACCAAAAATTGTTACTCTTGATCCTAATGACGAGAACATCATCCTAGGCATACCAGAAGATGTAGATCCTGCTCAACAGCGAACAAACTCAGCAACACCTGTGAAGGTTAAAATTCCTCACCCACATGTGAAAAATTCCAAGATTCTTTTAGGAAAGGCTGGAATAATCAATGTGATGGAGGAAGATACTCCTGCTCCACCACCAAAGTCACCAGATCGGGACCCATTTAATGTGTCCAATGACAGGTAACTAATATTGATGTTCTTTTCTTTGAATCTTACTCATCCCATTCATACAAGCAATGTTAAGTATGTATACTATCTTATTTTTCCTTATTTTGTCTTATTTTACTTGTCATCCTTTTCTTTATTTTTCTTTTGTTTTGTTTCCCCAAACTAATAGTCAGTTGAGCAGTTCTATTGTAATTAATCTGTATCTTCTTTCAATTAGCTATTACATGGCAAAATCTTCAGAGTCAATTGTTCGTTTGAAACCTGTTGGTGGAAAATTAATCCAACATTCCATACCTGTGATTGAACTCCGAGTACCTTTTGTTCAAACTTTTATGGGAGAAGTGAAGCTGAGAAATTTCCACCGCCCTCCCATGAAACGTTTTTCACGTGGACCGTTAGCTCAACCTATCCGTCATCCAGTTCACCCTTTAGCCAAGATCATCAAGAAAAAGGCAAAGGTATGCCTGACTTAATTTTAACTCTCATGAGGTATTCACGGGCAAGGTTTTCTAGATTAACAAAGTATTTTTATTGTTTTTTCTAATGTAGCAAAGAGAGCAGGAACGGATTGCATCCGGTGGGGGTGATGTATTTTTCATGCGCACACCTGATGACCTCTCTGGTAAGGATGGAGAAATTGTTCTTGTTGAGTTTTGTGAAGAGCATCCACCTCTCCTTAATCAGGTATTAAGAATGCTTCTGTCAATTACCTCTTCTAGAACTCTAGAAATTTGGACCACTAAATGAATTTTTGTTCCTAAGGTTGGAATGTGCACAAAGGTTAAAAATTATTACAAGAGGAAACCTGGGAAAGATCAAGGACCACCCTCTTTTAGATATGGAGAAGTAGCTTATGCTCACACTTCTCCTTTCCTTGGTGTGCTTTCTCATGGACAATCAATTCAAGTTGTAGAGAACAACATGTATCGGGCACCAATTTATGAACACAAAGTCCCAGAATCTGATTTCCTAGTCATTAGAACTCGTCAATCTTATTATATTCGTGAAACAGAAGCATTGTTCACTGTTGGACAAGAATGCCCTTTGTATGAGGTCCCGGGACCAAACTCCAAAAGAGCCAACAATTTCATCCGAGATTTTCTGCAGGTAAGACAATTTTCAGAAAATAAGAATTTTTTCTAAGATTCCAATTATAATTTAAACATTTATCTTGGTTTTTCAGGTTTTCATCTACAGATTATTTTGGAAGAGCAGAGACTCACCTCGTCGAATTAGAATGGATGACATAAAGAAGGCTTTTCCTTCACATTCAGAGAGCAGCATTCGAAAACGTTTAAAGTTGTGTGCTGATTTTAAAAGAACTGGTATTTACTTTTTATTTGCAAAGTTTTTGATGTTTTCTATGATGTACACATCTATTCTCTTTAGATTTCTTAAATTTCTTCTTAAATTCCCCCTTTTTTTATTTTCAGGTATGGACTCCAATTGGTGGGTAATAAAACCAGAATTTCGATTGCCTACTGAGGAAGAAATTAGAGCCATGGTATCTCCTGAACAATGTTGCGCTTATTTTAGTATGATAGCTGCTGAGCAACGTCTTAAGGTTACCTTTAGCTCCTTGTCTCATATTTTTTGTCCCTTTTTGCTCAAATGTTCCTTGTTATCTCTAAACTTTCTTTTTGTCTGTCAGGATGCTGGATATGGAGAAAAGTCCTTATTTGTTCCCCAAGACGATGATGATGAAGAAATGCAACTGAAGATGGATGATGAGATAAAAGTTGCACCATGGAATACTACTCGTGCTTACATTCAGGCTATGAAGAATAAGTGTTTACTGCAGTTAACAGGTCCTGCTGATCCTACAGGTTGCGGGGAGGGTTTCTCATATGTACGAGTTCCCAATAAGCCTACAGTAAGTAGATACAGTATCAACATAAGATGTTGAATTTATTTCTTGCATTCCTTGCATTTCCATTTCACCATTATCAATTAAATTAGTACAAGGAGGCTTGTATTTGAAACTTCAACTCTAACCTCCTCTACAGCAAAGTAAAGAAGAGCAAGAGTCACAACCTAAAAGAACAGTCACAGGCACTGATGCAGATTTGCGACGTCTGTCATTAAATAGTGCCAAAGCTATTCTTAGAAAATTTGGTGTTCCTGAAGAAGAGGTTTGTATTTAAGTCTTAAAAATTTAGTGAATATTTCCCAAAAACTATACTCCAAGAGTCGTGGGTAATTATTGGTTTTAAATTTTTTAGATAAAGAAGCTGTCAAGATGGGAGGTTATTGATGTGGTGAGAACATTGTCAACTGAAAAAGCCAAAGCTGGGGAAGAGGGCATGGATAAATTTTCTAGAGGAAATAGATTTTCTATCGCTGAGCACCAAGAAAGGTAACATTAATGATTTTTGTGCTCGTTGCTTCAGTTTTGCAACCAATCTAATAATGGGGCCTATCACTAAATCAGGTACAAGGAAGAGTGTCAGAGAATCTTTGAGCTTCAAAACAGAGTTCTTGCATCCTGTGAGGTACTCTCCACTGATGAAGGTGAGAGCTCAGATGAAGACAGTTCTGATGTTGAAGAAATGGGAAAAAATTTGGAAAACTTACTGTCTAATAAGAAAACGTCAACCCAGGCAAGTTTCAGCATTTTTATTGGTGCTGCTCTAGCTGCGTCTAGATATGTGGGTGTCTGCGCTGTGCTGTTAGTATGGCTCAGGCTGCTCAGGCACCCAAGACACCCAGGTAACTGGACGCAGCTTTTGTTAAGTTAAAGCAATACAGCTGACTAGAATTTTTTCTCAATATAGTTATCTCTGGAGCGTGAAGAGCAAGAACGTCAGGAGCTTCGTAAAATGATCATGGAATCAGATAATCAAGATCCTCGAAAGGGAAAAGATAAGAAAAAAGAGGATGAAGATAGCCATTCCCTATCCAATTTTGGTTCTCAAGCTGGTATTATTTTTAAATATTTACTAAAGTTTTAATCCACGTCCAACTCATATACAAAATTGAATCTAATCTTGTGTCTGTTTGTAGGTAAGGTTCTTAAAATATATCGTACATTTCGTGATGCCGATGGGAAAGAATACACAAGGGTAGAGAGTGTGCGTAAGAGTCCAGTAATTGATGCCTACATCAAGATAAGAACAACCAAAGATGAAGCCTTCATTAAGCAATTTGCTACATTGGATGATGCGCAGAAAGAAGAGATGAAGAGAGAAAAGCGAAGAATTCAAGAGCAACTTAGAAGAATAAAGCGAAATCAAGAAAGAGAGAGATTACAAGGTAAGGAACTCATTCATTGATAAAGGAATATTTTATTGATTTCCACTGTGTGTTTTTTTTATTATTATCTTCATACTACCAAATGTAAAAGCTTGTTCCACCTCCATACCTCTGTTTTAAGCATATTGATTTTAATTTCAGCTGGTGGAGGAGAATCTTCTCTTGGCTCAATGGGACTAAACAGTAGTAAAGTGCTTACGCTCTCTCCACCTTCACCTCGCCGAATAGGCATTGACATCGAGCGCGACCGCAGTAGAGATTCAGATCGAGAACGGGAACGTGAGAAGGAAAGAGATCGTAGCCGTGAACGGGATAGAGATTATCATCCAGATATGGATCGCATCAGAGACAGGGCCAGGAACTGGGATCGAGATCGGGACAGAGATCGAGATCGAGATCGTCACAAGCGGCTGAGTGACCACATATCACCAAAGAGAAAGAAACAGCCAAGGCTGAAACCAGACCTTAAATTGAAATGTGGTGCCTGTGGGCAGGTATGTGACAGATCACTTTTTCTTTTACATCTTCATTTATGTTCCTCTTAAGTGCAATTTATGTTATTATATTATCTATCTATCTATCTATTCAATTAGGTGGGGCACATGCGCACTAATAAAGCATGTCCTCTATATTCCTCATCTAATCCTGGTGGAGGTTCTTCACTGAATGTTGCACTAACAGAGGAACAAGAGGAAGAGTATGAAAGGCAATTCAGTGCAGACGACCAAGATTTGGTTAATGTTGATGGTACTAAGTTAAAACTTAGTAGCAAACTTCTTAAGGTAATTGGTTTTTCATTTTACTGATAAGTGTAAAATCTCCCTTTAATTTTGATTATTTTCAAACATTGTCACGTTTTTGCAGCATGCTGAGGAAATCAAGCGCCGCTCTCTGGTTCTGAAAGTGCCAAAAGATGCTGTCAATCGTAAGCGAAAACGTGCTGGTGGTGAACTTCATTGTGACTATTTGAAGAGTCACCACAAACCAACAAATCGTGCTCGCACTGACCCAGTAGTTACACTTTCAACTATTTTGGAAGAAGTGTTGAATGAAATGAGAGATCTTCCTGACGTTCAACCATTCCTGTTTCCTGTCAATACTAAGGTAATTTTATACCTCATAAAGGTGGTTTATTTTATCATTTCAACTTACTTCCAGTTAATTATAGCCCAGATTTCAAACTTGATACAATTTAAAATTCTTGTTTCCATTTTATCTATCCACTCACAGTCTGTACCTGATTATCATACAATTGTTGCTCGCCCAATTGATTTGCAAACAATTAGAGACAATTTACGTGCAAAGAAATACCAAAGTAGGGAAGAGTTTCTTGCAGATGTCAATCAAATTGTTGAAAATTCCAACCTTTACAATGGTAAGTTGAAAAGGCTGTTGCTATTCATTATTGCTTTATATTCACCTAAATAGAAATTATAAAGTAATATTTCATGGAGCTTGTAGCCGTGAAGATATCTTAATTTCTATCTACTAATGAACACCTGCAAATTTTAGGTCCTAAGAGCTCACTGACAGTGGCTGCCCGGCGTATGATGACTTTGTGTGTGGAACGTATTAGAGATAAAGAGGATAGACTGATGAGGCTTGAAAAAGCTATTAATCCCCTTCTTGATGACAATGATCAAGTAAGTCAAATCAAAAATTTTTCTCTTACTTTTTCATTACACAAACTATATTTGTTTGTTAGGTGCTTACACTTTTATCATTTTTTGTCCAACAGGTTGCACTTACATTTATTTTGAATAGTATTCTTAATGACAAAATTAAGACCATGTCAGAATCATGGCCATTTTTGAAGCCTGTGAACAAGAAGCAGGTGAAAGACTATTACAGTAAAATTAAGCATCCAATGGATCTGGAGCAAATTGGTAAAAAAGTTGCTGGTAAGAGTGTTACAATTGAGGTATCCAGTTATACATACTCATACTTAGGCCAATTTATCAAAGTATTTTCCGTTTTTTTTCTTATTAGCTCATAAATATCATAATCGTCAAGAGTTCTTAAAAGATATTGAACAGATTCTCCAAAATTGTATTACATACAACGGAAAAGAGTCAGTTTATACCAAGAAAGCTGAGGCTATTTTCAATACTGTGGTATCACAGCTTAGTGATTATGGAGATCATCTAAATCAATTAGAAAGTAATATTAGCTTAGTACAGGAACGTGCTCTTGAGCAGGCAGAAATTGATTCCCTTGGAACATGGCCTGGAGAGCATGATCAGGAAAATGACCAAGAACATGAGCAGCAAGAGGAGAACTATACAATTGATCATCATATAGCAGAGGCAAGAAAGAGACGTTTCTCTCTTAAAACTTCACATCACTCTTCTGCTACATAAAAATAAATGTTGAAAATATTTTGCTCATCTTAATTTTTCTTTTTTTTTTTTATGCATTGCAGAGTCGAACAAGTTCTCCTGGCATCAAGCATGAACTTGATGATTTTGAATATGTTGATGTCGATGGTGAAGAAAGTGGAGCACCACGAGTCACAAAGAAAGAACTGTTAGAAGAAGGTGAATAATTAACTGAAGTCCTTTTTCTGTTTTTTCCTTTGCTGTCACTGGTACTAATATTGTCTTGTGATTTGTAGATCTTCATTTCTCTTCCGAAGAAGAAGAAATGGAGTATGTGGAGCTTACAAATGCAAATCACATAGACTCTCATGTAGTCAATGAGCTAGATGATGATAGCCAGCAAGTAGCAGAGGCTATGGTACAGCTGGGGAATATGGGTTATTATCCCCCCGAGCATCCGGATGGCGGTGTAGAAGGAGATGGCATGGATTTTAAGATTCACCAACTGACCCGTCATGAGCAAGGTTAGTATGTCACAGTTTTAATTTTGAATGACTTGGACTTTTCTTGGTTTTAATTTCTTAGGAATATGTTCTCCTTGTATCCAGAAAATTATCTTGGGTTAACATCATGCAGTTTCACACTAAAATAAACTTTGTATTCCTTTTTTTTTTTTCTAGTTTTAGATGAAGGTCTTGACTTGGATCCAAATTATGACCCCTCTGATTTCCTCATGGACAGAAATCCAAATGAGATTCAAGATCATGGGGAAAACTTGCACATGGGTTTAAGAGATACTGTTGTGATTAACGAGCAGATACCAAATGAGATACATGATGATTTAGCTGTAAGCGAATCAGATGAAGAAAACCATCAAGAATCTCATTTTAATGTTGATGCACGAAGAGATGTTGAGGAAGCAGAGGAAGGGGATTTGTGGTTTTAGTTTATTGGATGACTGCCTGAGTACAACTGTGTGCCCAATGGGCAAGGTAAGATTTTGACCTTTTACACCTTTTTGTTTTGCTATAAATGTAATCAATTGTTTTTGTGTTTTTTTGTGCTGACTAGTAGATACTCTCTTAACACGTTCCCTGCGGTGTGACTACTATGTTAAATCATAGGCCCAAAAAATGAGCCCCAGGGAACGTGTTAACATTAAAATTGTTGGCAACATTTCAAAGAAATTTTGCAACAACTTGATATGAGAAAGATGTATGTGACTTCATGTATGAAAACTTCCTGCCTAATTTTTGGGGTTACTGCTGTTTCTATGAATGAGTATGAGTCAAATTTGAAACAATATATATTTGTTTGTGCTGTGCTGTGAGGTTGATGTTACCAGCTTTCTATCCTAACAACATCTGTTTCTTTTGTTTCCTCAATATTTTTCTTCTCTTTTTTAAAAACAAAAAACAAAAACATCTTTTTAAGCATCTCTCTCAATCAATTAATGTGATGTCTTATTGTACTTGAATATTATTTTGTTTGTAATTGAAGATTTTAATGTGTGTAAAACACTCACAACTGGGTGTTATTGTAAGTCATATTGTGTTCATTATTGTGGGGAGATTTGGTCTTCAACCCTTGTGTAGGTATAAAATATGTTAGAAGTGAGAAAAGGGGTTTACTGCCCTTCTCATTAAAATTATAGTTATTGATGATTTTGGTCGATTGACTTAAAGTCATTACCCTTGTGGTTTGTCTGTCATTCTAGTTCTCTGCCAATTTTCTTCCCACTGTATCATTGATCATACATATTTTTACACATTTTCTTTGATTTTAGTAAGTTTTTGATCAAATATGTTATATTATGTTATAATTTTCTTATAGGAAATATTTTTTTCTTTTTCCCAATCAAACCTTGTATGTTTGTACTGTGACTTAGTCATTGAATAGCTGTGGTACTGGGATCCAAGCAATGTTGTCCCACTTGTACTGCATTTATTTTATTGAGGTCACATTTTAAAATTTACGTCTTGTGTGTTTGTGAGTGAGATAGATGTTTAGGTGCTCTAGTATCAATGACTACTATTCCTCTTATCGCATATAAATTAGCATCCCTCACCTCATGATTTTAAAGGCATTGTTTCATAAAAACTTTTGTTATGGTTGTTGTTTTCCCTCTGAGAAAAAATTAGTGGCAGGACTAGATAGTTTTTGTTATTCTAATTGCCTGTATGTGATTGGGTATCAGGGGTTCTAGGCGGATACCATATTTGGATCCAATTTGTTCATCATTTTAAATGATAGTCTGCTCTGCATTGAAAAACTTATCAATCTGAATCACGTGTGTAAAAGATTTCTCAGAGGTTTTGTTAGTCTGAAGCTTGCTCTGGAAACCTGGTCAGGTTGAGCATGTCAAGTTCAGACAAAGTTTTAATTTAATTTTGATTTGTTTGGTTTGAAATGACTGAGGTCTAGGTACTTATAAATTATCTGTACCTAAATCTGTAATATGCCCTTGTCATGTCTAAATAGCATGAGAAGCCATGATGTGTGACTGATATTGTTTATTACAAACATTACCAAGTTGCCCTGGAATCTTTAAATCAATTTACAGTGCAATACCATTTAATTTTTCTTACCATCGCTGAAAAGAAATGTGTAAAAAGATATTGTAAATATATTTATTACTTATCTGTTCAAAAAAAAAATCACGGTTTATATTTTATTTGTAAATAATTTCAAATCTAAGAAGAGACGCAGTTTAATGTGCTTGAATTGGAAGTCAAATAAATTTTAACTTTTGTATAAGGAGTAAGGAAAAGTTTTTTGTCGCGATTTTTCCTGACACCAAAATTCCCTGTGCTTCAATGCCGGAACATAGGGAGAAGCTTTAGTTTTAAGTGTATCAGTGTTTATCATAAATGGAGCGTGGGATGCTCAATTAATCCCAGTTGAGTTTTGTAGTTAAATAGCCGTGATGCAAACATTGGCTCTATTCTTACCAATGGAAAATGCAAGGGAAGGTGGGGAAAGATGGGCCATGGGGTTAAATAAGACACTTTCAAACTTGTTACCTTCCGCTTGCAGTGGGATCGCCCAATCACGGTCGAAGATGGCAGAGGAGTTGTAGAAATGTTTTTCCTAGGTGGTGACCCAGTTTGACACTTTTCCCAAGAGGTAAGTGGTAGCAAATTTTATACAACCAAAACAAGGTAAAAGTATAAATCCACTTGGTTTAGTTTATGCTCTATCTCCGAAAGTTATTGATAAAAATGATTTTTTGTGAGACAAATATTTTCCGTGATCCCTTACATTTGTTTGACTCACGTCATCCAGCTGTGGGATGAGAGGGCAGCATGCCAGATTGTGTCCAGGCAGATTTGTGGTTCGGTACACAATAAAGGGATTTTGACAGACAAAGCAATCAGATCACAAATAAAGTGTCTTTACTCTCGTCACAAATCAACACTACAGTTCACAGCAACATTATGTACTTTGTACAGTGGCAGAAAAATATGTTTACAAAGGACTGAAAAATACAAAAGAGCTTCCCTAACCCTGATCAACTTTTGCACATATTGTTTTCCTTTCTTTTTCTGCCATTAAATGCAATGGTAGTTTCTACTCATAGGTTTCTACTTTTGTCACAGTAACAATTGTAAAAATAATCAGATGAAACAGAAAACAAATACTTTTCAGATTTAAAGAAAATAATACTATCACAACAAAGCTGTGAGATATGATTGTGCACATGTTAATCAAGCCTAGCATTTTTGTTTAATTGCTGTGGCAGTGATTATTAGTATGCACATCATGCTCATTTAAAATTGATTCATGCACTGATGTACAGCAGTATAACCTAGATTACAATAAAGTCAGTAAAACTGCCATAAATAAATTACATTTTACTCTTAAAAAGATCAAAATTACAAAGTGCAACCACAATTACTACAGATTAATATGTTGATACAACAAAACAGAAAGGAAAACTGGTGAAACAACATATGTCTTACACTTATGTATAATGATAAAAGAAGAACAATGTTCCTCATCTGCACCCATAGAAATGCATCAGCCCTTATATCCTTAAAATAAAAAAGAAAGATAAAGAAACAAAAAGAAAAGACCCCCTACTAATATAGAAGCAAACCTGAAGGACAGTGAATTGACAAATATGTAAAATATGAGCCGCATGGATAGTACATAAAAATAATTACAGGACATAGTTAGAAACAGGAAATACCATATCTAGATCTACTGCCCGTTGTCTCGAGTGAACAACCACTGGTAGAGGCAAATAACCTAAGTCAGCTATCACATTTCTCAACTTTCTATAATGTCAATCTAGATGACTATATATTTGTCTGCATGAATCTGAAACCAAATAAAGGGATCAGCTGGTTCAGAGACAGAAAAGGAGAGCACAAGGGAAAGGATGGAGCGGGAGACGTTAAATTCATCCATCCTTCAACTAATAATTTTTATAATGTAGAAAAATAAGCTTAATGAAGGCAATATTCCTGAAAGAAAGAAAATATTGCAGGCCATAGAAGATAGAGAAAGACATAAGATAAGGAGACAACAAAACTTCTGTCATTTGAAAAGTGTATGGTCCAAAGTAATGCCACAGCAAAAAGGTCAGCCCATCTAGAGAAAAAAGACGGGAAATCTCTTTTCTATCATTTGGTACTAAATTACTTTATTTTCAAAAAACATATGTCTATTTTAAGCAGACAACACTGAGATAAAAAAAAAAGAATTAATGAAACTCCACTTCAGACAAATTCACATAAAAGAAGTTTGTGCGAGTCCAGAAAGAATACAAGCAAAAAAATATGGAAAATCAACAAGTAGTGCAGTTAGATTTAAAAACAAAATGACCCAATTTACTTCTTTCTAACAAACAAAACAAACAAGCGTGGATTTCAGGAACAGAAGAGAGGCTTGTTAACAAATTCTCAACGATTACATCTCTAGGTGAAAGGTAAAACAAAAAAACAAAAGAAAACAGGGGGGAAAAAAATACTAAGTCAAATTGCTGCACTTGCTCTGTTACCACCACTGAAAAACACTCATTATTCTTATCTCTAATAAAAGAAACAGTATTCTTTGAAACATTACGCTTTTCAAAAAAAAAAAAAACTAAGTATATCATCACTTGTTTACACAAACACTTTCACAACAGTGGATGTAGAAAATAGAATGTTTAAATTTAGGTAGACACTACAAGAGAAAGGGCAGTACAGATCAAACACAGACATAAAGAGGTTTCTAGCACTGGGAACAAAAATTTGTAAGTAATGCAAGTATTTTAGAAGTGACCTTATTGGCAAAATAAGAGGGTAAACACCAGCATGAATGCAGGAATGCAGGTTTTCAGTATTTAGTGTTGAATTGAGTCAGGCAGAAGCTCTGTAGAGAGCCTAAACTGCTAAGTGACTGACATTAAAGGCCCATAAAACACTAACTTTCAACCTGGGGTAAAAGAGGAAAACAAGAAAGTAAAGGAAAACTGTTTAAATAAAGACTACCTAACTTCATAACTTCCAAATGTGATGCATGCCTTCACAATCAACAAGTGAACAATGGTTGCTCATAAAATTTGAATCACAAGTAATCTGAAAGCAGCAACATGAAGTTGTTTAGTGGTCTCAAAGTAAGTAGAATACGTTGGAAATATGTATTTGGTTCAAGCCCTGCTTTGCAATGTTGAAGATTTTTAAGAAAACAAAATTAGATAAAATATTGCATCTTTTGAGAAATAGTTGCTCATTTACCTCAAGCAGCTGTTTCCATACATTGACCACTCTTTGGCATAGAAGATTTCAACAAACGTTTAATAGTTTGCTCTTAATAACACAGTAATGTATAAAATTTGCATCATAAAGTAAAATTTGATACAAACACAAATGGGAGTCACAAAGGAATAAAAAGAAATCTTAGATTATTTCAGTCAGTGAACTGCCTCCCCCTGCGTTAATACAATTAAAAAAAAAAAAAAAAAAAAAACGGAGTTTAAACAAACATCAAGAAAATTTTCAAAATCAAAAAACTTCACAAATCACAACAAATACAAATAATGAATCTAAATTTTACAGCAACTTGCAAAGGTCCATACTGAAAACAATACATGCATGGGAACTCAAAGGAGACCAGTTCCAGGTTTTGGAATATAATGCAACAAGTTTACTATGCCATATTCCAGTCAAGATGAATAAAACAATATACGGATGAAGTACAGTAAAAACCATAACTCTAGTGATGTGGTCCCTTGATGAAACAGCACTTGCTTTTCTAATTGGAAAAAAGTAGAGAGCAAACAACTGCACTGATCTTAAAATTGTAACTTGGGGGTCAAGAGGAAGGAAAAGTTCTCATGCATGTAGACATACCCTCATAAAGATAAAGGAACATTTCCTTCCGAATCAACCTCACACACCCGCCGAGAAAAATAAACAGCTACATACTGTAGTTAAATTAGACATGCACAAAAATCAACTAGCTGCACAACTATTATCAAGAATAAAAGCTAATATTTTTTGAGACTTTAAAAAAATCAAATACTCATGCAGTGTTTTGCTGAACAGTACCAGGATTTAATGGGCCATGGAGCACAAACATAAAACATTGTTAAATTGGAAAAGGAAATTAACTTCGGTTGGCTGATGGCAAGAGATCATCGACCAACAAGCAAACAACAATAATAATAATAATGCAAAGTTGAGTAAGGCAATCAGTCTGCTCGGTAGTTGACAGCATTGTATAATGTAACACTAACAGAAACACCAAACACACCTCTGAACACTCTCAGCTTCAGTCAAAATAAACATGATTTAAATAATAGCCATGTAAACAATGTATGTGTAAAACAGGGCAACATAATAAAAGCCATCCTTGGTAATTGTAAGTAATCTGAAAAATACAACCCCATTGAAAGAAACAATATGAACAATGAAATGGCAAATAACAGGTAGGAAAGACACCACAAACATCTCTACAGATTAATTAATTAATTTGCTGAAGTCTCAGCCACATGTGTTTTTTTGTTTTTTCCATACTTCAGACAGTCTAGATGCACACTACATACATCAAATTCATAACAGTATGACACTTTGGATAACAACTAGTGTTCACCCAAGCAACTTTCTGATCTAAAATGGTTAAATTTATGATTTTTTTTATCATTCCCATACATAGAAGGTAGATAACTAGAACGAGGTATAACTTATGACAGGAGAATTAAAATATCAACAAACAGGAATAATGCAATAGAGGGCATCCAATTTAAGATTGGGTTCCCTTTCTTGTTTCCTCTAAAGAATTAAATAAGCTTTACATTAAATTAGACACTAAATCATAAGACAAATCAAATCACAGACCAACCTTTTAACAGATTATAGATTACATCAAATATGCTCAACACATTTTTCCATTCACACAATAGCTGACTCACATTGCAAGTGTGAGGTCATTTAGATTACAGAGTACCAATCCACCCAAAAAACTAACAATGCTCAATGATGAAAGGCACAAACAAGGTAAAACCTCAAACACGCAGCAGGACGGAGATCAGCCACGAGTTCAAAGCACCGGATTTCTTCTAGCAATGGCAAGAAGCTTTTGTATCTTTCCTTGTGCATAAATGACTTAATATTTATGCATATACACACACAGCTCTTATACTATCTCAAACATTGAGCACCAAATTATGAAACTGACCAGAAGTGGTAAAACAAACATGTTGGTCAGTGTAAATAGCTAGCAGGAATCAACCAAAGTGATGAATTTTGTAATGATGACTGATAAATACAATTATTAAGTAAAGTTTAACTTCAAACTCAGACAAATAAAAGAAAATTATGAAGATGAGTGGAATGGTTCACTTCAATCAGTGCAACAGAGAATAGATATCGGTATCACATTCTTTGCATGACAAAACTTATCAGTGGTTTGCCTTGCACCTTAATATTAATGAATGAATGAATAAACCTCTCATAAGAGTAACTAGTATTTTGAGTTCCATTGCAATTTGTATGGGAACAGGACACTGACTTGAATCAGAATAGACATGGAAGTATGAATGAATGAATAATGCAAAGGTCCTACTCACACACACATTTAGAACTTTGTATTCTTGTAAATTTACTATGGTACATCAAAACATTAAATCATAATATTAAAACCTAACATTTTCTTTACTGAATTCTGCTTAAGTCAGAAAGACTAGTCAATATTTCCTCGTTTCAGCAAGTAGGTATGAAGATAGATCAGACCTGAATTCTTGGCTCTTAACAATGATCATGGATGCTGGGCAAAATAGTTTAGAAGGCATCACCCTAACAATTTCTGGGTATTTGCCATTAAAATTTCATTCTTGGACAAGTAAACACAAATCTTGGCACAAATCTATAGAATAGCTGAATCATCAACAAGTGGCGAGAGTGGGCTAAGACCATCATGTTTCTTGCTGCGTTCCACCTCATAATGTACTTCCATGGACAGACCTACAGCAAAACAGCCATAATTATTTTTATGCAGCAGTCATTGAATTACTTAATTTAATTCATAAAAATGTATGTACCTGATTGCCTACGCGAACCAGAACGGAAATTATTTGTCACCCCAGCTCCTTCGGGTATGAAAGCCGCTACTAACAGTGCACAGATAACCAGTAGGGCTCCAAAGACAAATGGTGGACCAGGAATCAACTGTAGAGAGTAAAACATTATTAATTTACACAGGCAAAGCATCTACATTCTGTGAAAAGAATTTCCACAAACTAATCAGTAGATTTTCATGACCAAAATTGTAGCTATCATTAAATTAAGTATTGCACAATGATTCTCGTAACATACCTGGCTAATAATAGCCCAAACAGGCTCCTATCCAGAAAGCAACAGAAAAAAGGCCAAAAAACATACACAATAAGTGATGATTAAGTTTAGATAGGTATGATATGGTATAAATAAAGATAGATAAATAAATAATGATGACTGCTGCAGTGTTACTGGGTCACACTAAGTGACATATTACAGTCAACATGTTAAATGTGAATTGATATATTAAATTTTGTGTGATTTCAGCACAAAAACAGGGTAAGAAAGTTGTGGCAAGAGTTTCATCTTAAAACAAATTGCTTTTCAAGAGTTTGAAATGAGTCAGTGCAGGGACAAGGGAATTGAATAGTAGATAGATAGATAAAAGAATTGTACCTGTGGGAAACTGTCGGCATGTCCAGTTGTAGCATTATCAATAATGTGAGTGGATCTTGAGTCATCGCGAGCTTTCCCATCATCGTTCAGATCAACGTGAAAGAGATAAAATATTACACCAAACATTGCTGGGCCAAGACCATTACACAGGCCTCTCATTCCTGTCACCATTCCTTGAGCCAGCCCTGCAACCAAATAGAAATGTTTAATAAATGTTCCTTTGCATCTCATAATTGCTAGCCATTTTTTTTTTTTAAATCCTTTTATTTGCTGACCTTGGTTGTCAGCATCAGAATGCATTGAAACAAATGCACTGATAGCAGGGTAAGTAATACTTGAAACAGAGGCTAGTACACCAGCAGCCCACATCATCCTAAAATAAGACAAGGTTTGTTTATTTTTATTTTTTTAAGTTTAACATAGCTGGAAACTTTACTCTGTTTATTAATTCATAGTTGACTTCATTTAACTTACCACATTTGAGAGCCAAACCCAAACCACATGAGTTGAAGCATTTCAAAGAGAAGACCAACCATAATCGTGTGCTTAGAACCAAATTGTTTCATAAGAATTCCTAAAATCATTTGAGCGCCAACAGACAACAAGCCAATGGTAGCAATGAACACAGCAACCATCACTTCATTGAAATCCATAACCTGAAACAGTTGGGGTTGGATTAGATGATAAAAAAAGGAGAGAGAACGATTACTAAATGATCAACAGAGCTTAACACAGCATACTTAAAAAATATCATGATCTATGAGGAGGTAAGAATCATTCTTACTTAAGCCACGAGTGATTACTAACCAATTTCAGATACACAAAAATGCAGGAGTACTGTCCAGCTTCAGGAAGATAGGACAAAAAGACAGTAGTGCACAACATAAGAATTGTATGATCCTTTCCAACTTTACGCAATGCCTGGAAAGATAAAAGATGATTAGTGAACTAGCCACAAAGGTCTGACTAATAGGGGAGATAAATAATTGTAAACTTGCAGCAAAAGGGTCAGCTTGTTCCCATGATATTGGTGCTCCCCAAGAAGACGGTCGGACTTTCTCAGGTAAGGATTCTGGCACAGCCACAAGAATGATAAATACGTCGAGCAATGCAATTGCAGTGGCAACAGCAACAACAAGATTTTCACTGTATGCATTCATCATATATGCACCAAGGGCAGGGCTGATGACCAGGCTTGCAGCAAATGTAGCTGATACCTAAGAAAAATATTAAAAATATTTTAAGACTTCTTCATACACGGTATTAAAATACAGCAGATTTTTTTTCCCATTTTCAAGATAAAAAGGCCTACCAAACCATAAGCCAAACTACGCTCATTTTCCTCAGTGACATCCGCAACATAGGCAAAAACAACGGAGAAGGTAACTGCAAAAACTCCAGAGATGCTGATCATGGCGAAAAACCACCTAGTAAAGTAAAAGATGTAACAGACATGAGTAAAACAGTTAAGTTTTCTTTACAATTTGAGGAAAACAGGAGTCTTGATTTCTTACCAATGATTAATAGACATTAAAGGTATAGGTGCACACGTGAAAAACACAGTGACAAGTAGAAAGAATTTGCGTCCCCACACATCTGATAAAGCTCCTATCAGTGGTGCACTCAGAAAGGATAAGATACCCTACAAATAAAATACAGGATAAAAATTTTAGAACATTTACAATGAAAAATAGACAGAACAGAATCTTCACACTAGATTCTTACCTTTATGCCCATGATGAGCCCATTCATCAAGAAGGTGTGCTCAGGGAAAGTCTCCTTAAGCACCTGAAAATAATAGATTAGATTAAGAAACATGAATGATAAAACATCTTGATAACTTTCTTCATAAATGCTTACCGAAATAACAGGCATAGTAAGAAGTCCCCATGCAAAGAACTCCAGGAAAATAACAACCAAGGCGTGGTAAACGCTTGGTTCCCCGATCCCCGAGGTCTGAAACCAAACACAATAATGTCAACTTTGTGTCGAGAAAATATTTGGTGAGCTAATTTCTAAGGATGTGTCAAAGAGTAAAAGGAAAAAAATCCTACAAAAGAAACAAGATTTTTCAAAATTAGCTGTTATAAGCAAGACAAAAGATTGCTAATGACCAGCTCATGATCCAAAGCATTTACAAAAATAGGCCATAACTGTGTCTACTTAAAGTGCACTTCCAACATCCATTTTAAAGTTATTTAATGAGAAAAACAAAACTACATTATTAATCTGAAGCACTTAACTTGGAAATATATTATAAGATATAAACCCTTTGTTGGCAGATGGTCATGTCAAACAGGAGCAGATGCCAATCAAAATATTATTAAATATGATTAAAACATCTGCATTATGTACCAATACAATGTACATAATCCCATTATTACTGTACCATGCACAAGGCTCATAAAAGCATCTATGGTTTTAAAAGAGCAGGGAAATTATTACATAGAGCCTTACATCTAACCAGATGCAGTCCTATGGCGTTCCTTACACGAACACAGCAAAATCACAAACAGACCTTGTCCAAAATTAAAGTGTTCATTAGTTATAAGTAGTTTGAACACGAGCAGGATCTTTTTCGTTTCAGATAAAAGGTAAGAACATGAACCTTAAGATGTTTCCATATTTGTCGAAAAATGCTGTTGCGTGGGACGTTTTCCTGTGTTTTGACCGGATTTGCAGAAATGGGAATGGGCTGATTGGACGGGTGAGCACTTCCTTCACAACTTGAATAGGGTAATCCTTCAGTAACTCCAAGTTGAACACCAGCTCGGATGCTGCATACGGTAAACGAATTGCTTCTTTTCCTGGGTGAAATGCTATTTCCATTTTTTGGAAGGTCTGCGGCTGCGGTTTGGTTTGTCTCATGGTGAGTTGTGGCTTGGATAGGTAGACTAAAAAATTCATTTGGTTTGGCTTCATGATGAAGTGGTCTTGAACTTGCAACTTCTAAACTAATGGTGTTTAGTTCAACATTAGTCATAATGCACGGTCCATAACAGGAGATTTGAAGCACGGGGAATCAAAATCTTCAGATCGCCTTTGCAGACAGTATATCACAGAACACAACACTGACATTAAGCACGATTGTGTAGACAGTACAACCAAGAGGTTTCACGAGGTGTTCACCAGAGATACTATGTTCACTAGACACTCGCGAGACGCGGACGAAAGGGGGCACGAGTCGTCGTGGTACGGGCGCAAACAAACGCCCCTTGCTCCGATCGGCTCGGGTCGCGGGCCGCCGCTTCCCACTCACTGAGCTGAGCGCTGAGCGGCGCGCTGGGCTGCCCTGGGGCCTAGCGGCGCGGCCGGGTCTTCGGCAGCCGGGCGGGCACAGCCGGGCACACCCCACCGCGGCGACGCCCCCCTGTCCCCCCCC